CGCCCGGCTAAAATTTATTTTTATTTCAGTGTGTATTTTGCTTCTATGTGTGAACACTGCAGGCATGCTTGGTGCTCATGGAGTCTAGAAGGAAAAGAGCATTGGATTCTTTGGAACTGGAGTTACAGACAATTGTGAGCTACCATGTGGGTGCCGGGAATTGAACCTGGGTCCTCTGCAAGAATAGCAAGTGTTTATAACCACTGAGCCATCATCTCCAGCTCCACGAATTTTTGTTTTATTGTTTTGTTTTGTTCTGGAGACAGGGTCTTGCTATATAGGCTGACCTCCGACTCATGATCCCCCTGCCTCAGTTTTCCAAGTGCTGTGACACTCTGTGTGTGCTACTTCACCTGCCCAAAGGCATCTACTTTCGCCCATGTTTGGTTCCAACTCTTTCTGATTCACAGATAAATACCAGCTCCCCTGAGGATGTCACCCACCTATAGTGCCTGTTAAAAAGAACATCCCCACTCAGGCTACAGGGATGAGAACAGGGTGTGACAACTTTAAAGGTAACTGCCTGGTTGGTTTGTTTTGAAGACAGGGCCTCTCTATGTAGTCCAGGTTGGCCTGGAATTTTCTATCCTCCCAGCTCTGCTTCCATGTGCTGGGATCACAGGTACGCATCATGCCCAGCTTTAGCTGGCTTCTTGAGCCACTCCTCACTCAGGATTTCCAATGGAGGAGGTCTAGTAGAGTCCTTCACACTCAGCAAATGCCAAAGGGCTTAGCTTAGAGAACCGAGGTCCTCTTTCTGATCCCCACCAACACACACACACACACACACACACACACACACACACACACACACACACACACACACACCTCCATGCCCTAAAACAGTCATAGAGAACATTGTAGGGCAACTGAGAAAAGTTGGGATCTTTTTTTTTTCTGCTATGATCCTACCACCCACGTCAGAGGCAGGCCAAGGAAAGCACCCATGGAGCATCTGACGCTTCCATTACACAAACCTCAGTCTGATGAGGTTAGCCGGCCACCACCCCAGCTCCGGGCTGAAGACAGGCACTCTACTGTGAAGCTGAGAGGGGCAGGCGAGCGGGTGACAGGGAAGAGCTGTCACGGGTGTTGTGCCCATCCCAGCCCTGCTTCCTTTTCCCAGTCTGTAATCTGTAGACCCTGAGGGCAGGGCAGCAAAGGCCGACAGACTCGAGGAGAAGGACACACACACACACCACAGGTACAAACCAGTCGTTTTATTCCCGGTGTTGGTTTATACAAACTTGCAAGATACAAATGCACAGCTCGTTGGGGTTCTTTAGTACCTAATCTAGTAAGATTGCCACCGAAAGGAGGGAGCAAGCTCTCACCTACCTCAGCCAGGCGCCCCTTCTCCAGGGGACGATGATCGGCTAGACGAATGCTCAGGGGATGCTATGGCCATGTGGTCCCAACAGAGACGCTGTTCATCTAACCTTAACTTTGTCTAAGGTCACTTTCATACTAAATAAAGACACTGAGATCATAAATTTCCTTGTATGGTTTATTGTCTAACACTAGCAAATCAAATTGGCCCCAAATATGTGCATAAATAGATATGTATATATATATATATTTATATATAGTATTTTTTTCTTAGTTTTAAGAGCTGCCAGGAGGAGGGTGCCTAATGGGGAAGGAAAGGATTCCATCTTGCAGTCGTAGCCCTGCCTCCAAGAACATGCCTTCCATAAAGGCAGGAGAGCAGACCTGCTGCTTGCAAGCTTGCTCCCTCAGAAGTCTTTAAAGTGACAGTAGCAGTATTTGATCGCAGCCTCTTGGTTTTTGGTGGTGGAGGTAACGCGTGAATTGGGAAGGCCCTATGTGGGTAGCCAGGACTTTCCCTAGAAGGGGTGCCTAGCCCTAGGCTTATGTCTGGGCCCTGTTCATTCATAGCAAGAGACTCAAGGCTGGGAAGAGGGCCAAAAATGCCAGAGTTGGAGATCAGGAATCAAAGGCTGGCCAGAGTGTTGTAAAATTCCCGAACACGTCATTTCAGATCTGGGGTGAGGTCTCCACCCTGCCCAAACCCTTGCAAGGCTAGAACCTCCTTGCTCACTTCACCTGTCAGGAAGCAAGTTTGGAAGACTGAGCTAGCACAGGCCAGAACTCAAGCCCACAGCCTGTCAAAGCACAGAGCCTTTCTTCTTGGGAAAGACTGAGATGTGACATTGGCTGTGGAGCCCTCCCCAGCCAAGAATGAGGCTGGATGTTAGACCAATGTGACGGAATGACTCCCAGAAAGGAAAGTCCTAGGGGGAAACCAGCGTGACCCAGAGTGGGCTCCGGAGAAAGTGTAGGAGAGGCCTGGGAACTCATAGTATTCACCAAAGAACACAGAGGATCCCAAGCTTCACCAAGGATCTCTGGGCTTCACCTTGTGACTGACATCCTTCAAACCGGCTAGCCAGCGTCTGCTGCCAGCAACCTGCTGGCCTTTTCTCACAGAGGGCTGAGGGGAGGCTGTCCAGGGGCCTGTGTGAGGACTGCATGTCTGCAGTCATAAACATTTCCTTCAGGAGACCCACATGCCTGGCAACCCTTGGGCTGCCTTCCAAAGCTGACAGTGAAATCAAGTTCTTAGACCAGGACTTTCAAAGGCAGCTGGGAGGAGCCTGGGGACCAGCCCTTTACAATGACTGGGTAAGGGGAAGAAAGCAGAGGGGAGGGCAGAGGGGAGGGCAGAGACCCAGACCAGGGACAGCCACCTCGGTCTCCTCGCACGTCACCAATCCTTTTCAGACATTGCACGTTTTGAAAATAGATCTGCTCTTAAACAAAAGCACAAAATAGGTCTGCCTTAAAATAAATCTTTCCTCTCTCCTTCTTTGGATCAAAAGGCAGGGGGCGTGGTTTCAATGTGCTAAGAATGGCGTGGACAGAAAACAGGTCTGGGCAGGAGTTGAGAAAGGATTGACATCCAGACAAATAGATATAGATGTATATATATATTACATGGGTATCTATGACATGATCACTTCCATAAAACATATATTAAGGCATGTAAAGCAACATAAAGAGCCAGCTTTATGAAACACGGGATGAGCGGTGGAAGAGGCCCAGACGTTTCTTGGTATTTTATGTGTATTTCTAAAAATACCACTTTTTAAAAAAAGGAGAGACGAAGACAGGAAAGCCCTAAAAACTCTGTTTCTTGTGGAAGAGGGTATGGGGAGAGAGCTAACCTGGGAGCTGCTCCCACCTACCAGTCTTTAAGGAAGAAAGGGCAGGTTTGGGGTGCTTGGACTGTGTGGATAGGGAATGTCACCGAGGAGCACTTTCCAGGCCTGACAGGGTGCATATGGGTAGACTCCTGTGATCCAGAGTCCCTCAGAAGCAAGACAATCTCCTAAGCACCTGGAACATCAGTACCTGGCACACAAAAAGTGCTTGACGAGTATCTGTGGAATGAGCCGTCATCTTTACTTGCACATAAACTAGTAACTGTCCCAACCACGAAGGAGCAGCGATGGATCGACGGGAGATGATGCAGTTGTATCTTGGGACCACTGATGCTCAGGCTGAAGTCTCTGGGCAGCCAGTGCAGCAGGGCGGGCCTGGAGACTGGTGTCTGCATCCGGCCTTCCTTCACTGCTCTCTGGCTGCGTTCACTCAAGGTAGGTGGAATAGAGAAAGACTCTACTCCGTTCCCGTCTCGCCCTGTCCTGTCCTCCCTGGGTGGGTGGGTTATAAGAAAGCCCGGCCTCTGGTCCTGCTCTGGACACCTGAGATGAGTTAAGGACCCAGAGCCTGGCCTCACATTTAAATCCCCATTCCCTCCTCCTAGGGCTAACCCTGGGCAGGCCCACAGCACTCTCCAGGTTTGAGTGGGTCAAGATACTGGCGAGGTAAGGCCCCAAGGCTGACTGACAGACAGACGACAGATAGACAGACAGTAAGACAGTCCTCTCTGCCCATGACCCTCGGGGAGAGACGAACAGCAGGCCTCGACACAGATGGACCATCTCCCAGGCTATCTCACCCTAACACCCGCCTCCTCCACACCTTCCCACCAAGCACCTCAGCTGGGGCTGACGTGTGCCCGGCGAGTCCTCCTGGGCCACCCACTCCTGAGGAAGACGTGAACATACTTAGGTGACAGTCAGGCCCTCTGCTTGGCACTAACCTAAGGCTCCACTCTAGGGAAGACATTCCTACTCTCCCTTCCCATTCCCCCTCCTTCCTTACATCCCCACTGCTTGCGGAAAGCGTCCGACTTTCCCCTCCCTTCAGTCTCCAAGCCTCTCTCCTCTTCCGTCCGCTCCCACTTCCAACTTGCCCTCCGACACTGCGCAGACCTGCTGTCCTCTATCCACACCACCCACACCTGACCCCTCCAGGAACCCAGGGGCCACCCCCCCTGGCACTCATCATCTTCTCTTTGGCTCAAGCAGGGCAGCTGGTCTCCAGGGAAACCCATCAGCATCGCCGTGTCAAAGCCCTGGGCATCGCTGAGGCAGCTGGGACGGAAGGGGAGGAAGAGGATGGCAAGAGCTGGCCTCTCTCTCACTGTGTTGTGTGGGTTCCAAGGGGTAGACAGTCTGTCTTCACTTCCTGTCCTCACCCGTAGCCGAGGGCCTGCTCCCACCAGGACACGCTCTCCATCAGGTTAGGGTGCAAGAGGGCCACACAGTGCCATCCGGAACCGCACTTGAACTCCCTGTGACCGGGGCATCAGAGAGGATGACCCTTGGCCTTGCCATCCCAGGTCTTGCCTTCGAACTATGGCACGACAGTACAGGCTTCAGGACACGGGCAGCAGATGTGGCTTTCAAGGCATCCATGCTCCTTTCTGAAGCAGGCCTGGCCCCCAGCCTGGCTCCCTGGGGCATTCTCGCGGTGGGTGCAAGGGCAGGAAGCCAGGATGAGGAGCCGGCGTCCCGGATGTGCTATCAGAAGGTGGCTCTGTGGAGCTTCACAGCGTTGGCCTCGGCCAGGGCTTGCACTAGAAAAGAGAGAAGCGGGTGAGAAGAGAACGCGGCGCAACCGCACGCACGCCACGACAGGCAGCTTCTCTAGGGCGTGGGAAGCTTCATCACCAAGAGCGGAGGAGCCATCCCTTCCCCACCCCGGAGAGAGCGGAAGGGAGGGGAAGGAGACCGGTTCTTGCCCATTCCTAACACAAACTGCATGCTGCCAGGGGAGGGAAGAACAAGGCGAGGCTCTAGCACCGCCCTCAGCGACATTAGAGTCTGGGTGTGGGGACACAGCTTCTAGGGCCTTCTTAGGGTTCTGCGGCAGGATTGCCATGGATCTCGAGAGAGATGGAAGCTGGTGAGCAGAGGGGAAGCCTAGGGTGGCAGGAGCAGAGGCAGGGGCCAGGGAACTACGTTCCCCCCGAGCAGCAGACAGGTGTGGACTTTGCCCCGTTCCCTTCTGCTTGCAAAGAAGCAGAGTCGCTGGCATCGTCATATCTAAGCGGCAGCGTGGCCAGCCACGCGCAGCCAGTACCGCTTGGGAGACACCGGTGGCTGAAGCGGACAAATGGGGGGGACACTGAGCACAGGGTACCGGGGTGGGGAGAAGCAATGAGAGGGCGTAGATGACTCAATGGGGTGAGGGAGGGCCGCCCCCCTCCCTGGGGTGCATGAGATACAGTAGAAAAGTGCTTACGTCAGAGCTCAGACCCGCATGGTATGGCTGCTGTCGGCGCCCACGGGGCGTTCAGACGGTAGGGGGTTGACTGGTGGAGTCGGGGAAGCAGGGGAGGTGGGAGGGCTTGGGGTGGCACATTGCACTGGAAACAGAAATGAACAGGGCCGTGAATAGGGGACAAAGGGGACTGGGGAGGAGCCTGGGCACCCAGAGCAAGCGAGGCCACTCCCTGGGCAGGGAGTAAGGCAGGGAGGCAAGCAGAGAGAGAGGAGCTGGCCTGGGGAGCTGGCTCAAGCAGAGGCAAAGCCGTCTTTATCCCCAGGGTGCCATGGAGGCTAGTGAGGCCCCGCCCGGAGGGGACCCGGACAAACCCAGGCTCTGCTAAGAACCAGGGTGTGATGGTGCATGAGGCTGAACCCCATTCTGGGACAAAAACTCCCTTCCCATCCACACTGGTGCAGGATGGGAATGAAGGGGAGTCACTTCACACCATCTAAGGCAGTTCCCCTCATGATAATGATGAATAGTGCAGTAAAATCACACCAGTCCACAGCATCGGGTCACCTCTTCACAGCAGGACAGCCACCATGACCATCGTTTCCAAAGAGCATGGCTTCCTGATCTCTGTCAGTTTTGGTATGACCAAGGGCTCAGACGCAACATCCACGATCACGAGAGGCACGGCTCTGACCCACCCAGCAGAGGACCTTCAGTCTGCTCGTGAAAAACCACTTTGAACTTTAAAGCCGTGACCTTTGAACTGGTGAGATTTTACCCTATCATCATTCTTTCATGGGAAGAACAGCAACACGGAGAGTCCTCTAAGTGGCCACTGGACGCTCGCACATCCTCAGGATAGCCAAGGCAGAGGATGGCAGAAGGTCCTCGCTTGGGCTCAGAGAAGAACCAGACCTCAGCCACGAGTCACGCTGCATTTCCAAGATGTGACACTAAACTTCCTCGTCCTGGCTCCCCACCCAGGCATCACCTTCTCTGACTTCACCTGTTCAACACAGGGCCCATTCGGCTCCTATTATTGCTACATCCCCTGTGTGTTCATAGCCCAGGTTACTCAGGTGGACGTGAGATCATGCCTGCCTCACAGAATGCCATTTGTGCCTGGGATTCTGAACGCATCACACAGTTACACTCATTTTACACAACTTAAATATGTGTTTGTGCACATTCAAGCCTCAGTGTTTTCATATGACCCGACATTCTTGTCACATCATAGGCAAAAACACCCACAAATGCTTTCCATCACATTCATGTGCATGTCCGTATCACCAAAGGAGGAGGGTGACTTATGGGCTGTGTTCAGACTCAGTCAAAAACCCAGCAAGTAGGCAAGACGACTCCCTGGGAAGCCAAACAGATGTTATAACATCTGCCTAATGAGGCTCTCACAACCGACATGCAGAGTCCTGTGGAGTCCAGGCATTGTTATTCACAATTCTAATAGGTCTTGACCTATCTGTGTTCTGACCCACAGATTGGAAATGGGGGCTGGAAAAGGGGAGGAAAGAGGGGCGCTGAAAGCCCCTGTGCAGCTCTAAGAAGGACAAGTGAAGAGAGCCCCTTTTGTGGAAAGTAGAGATAACACGTAAGTTATAGAGATCACACTTAGTTACAGAGAGAGCCACACAGAGGGACTGCAGCTCCTCCGGGAAAATGCCTTCAACAGAAGCCAGGAGCATAAGGGTATTGAGAACAGTAGCTGAGGAAGAAGAAGGCGGTTATGCGAATGTTATCTCTTTAAGGAAACAGACACGCTAAGTATATATTAAGACTATGCCGGGCGTTGGTGGCGCACGCCTTTAATCCCAGCACTCGGGAGGCGGAGGCAGGTGGATCTCTGTGAGTTCGAGGCCAGCCTGGGCTACCAAGTGAGCTCCAGGAAAGGCGCAAAGCTACACAGAGAAACCCTGTCTCGAAAAACCAAAAAAAAAAAAAAAAGACTATATGCACTGAAGCAAGTTAGCTTCAGATGTGTAGCAAGTGGACATATTGGACAGGTGTGGTACAACAACGTATGCGCGTCTGCGTGTGTGAGTAGCCACATACATCTTTCATCTCTCACCTTGTACACAGACTTGTTCACAGTGCTACAGAGTGTACACAGTGCGCAACATATGGGATAGGCCACACACACACACACACACACACACACACACACACACACACACACGTTCCTATATTTGCGCTCGAGCATCCCTTCTACCTACAGACCAATCACCTGAACACACACAGACACACACCTGCAAACATTACCAGACACAGACGCTGCACACGACATCTGGGCCAGGCACACAGATTCAGAAATGCCGCGTCTTCTCATCGGATACACACTGAATCAGCAGGTAGCAGGGAGACTTACAGAACAGAGCACTCCTCACTGATTATGTAATTCCCGGCACACACACCCTTTAGCTCCATACGCCATGCCTGCAGTTCTCGGGACCTAGGCCCAGATGTTCTCCCTCCTAGTGTCCTGGGTATGAACCTACGCCCACACTGCATATGCCCAGGACCAGTCTTGCTCTGCGGCCTCTGGGCCATGGGCCAATGCTAGCAGGGTCAGCGGGCTAGGTCTGAGGTCTGGCCCTACCATAGCCATTTTTGAAATTTTGGGGGGTTTTGGCGGAAGCACAGCGACCGTTTGCTTTCGGCACACAGACCCTGAAACGTGAGCCCAAGTGTCGTCAGGAAAAATTTGATCGGCCCTAGAGGTTTGTTTTCATGAAACCCGGACTGCTGGGTAACAGTGGAGAAAGCCAGGTGCGTGGCAGGCCTGAGGGGAAGTTTTGGGGGGGTGCTGCCCTCTTGAAACAGGAAGTGCCTTTTGCCCAAAGCATGTGGAATTCTGGCTCAAGTTCAATTTAGGTTCAAGTTCCACTAGTAACTAAAGTAAGGGGAGGTCACAGGAGGCCTCCCTGGCCGCAGCCAAACTGGTTTGGTTGCCTTAGCTGCAGGAAAGGAGATGGTCCTGCCTGACTCAGGCCAGCTTGTGGAGAGCCTGTCCCAAGAGCACCTGCAGCCTACAGCCTCGCCCCCACCCCCCCAGCCCTTCATCCTGAAGCTCATCATTCCCTAAATGGCAGCAGGCTCTCGAGGGTTAACTGATGTCTTCTTTGTTGTGATTACAAGCCTCTGGTTGTAATGTGCATGTAGAGAGTTAGAGACAGACCAGAGGGTTCTTCATTGCAGCTTCAGCTCTTATTGATTCAAATAGGTCTACCCGCATCCCAGCATCCCAGCATCCCAGCATCATCCCAGCATCCCAGCATCATCCCAGCATCCCAGCATCATCCCAGCATCCCAGCATCATCCCAGCATCTCAGCATCCCAGCATCCCAGCACCGCCATTGTTACAGCACTCAAACCCCAGCTCTGTGCAAGGGGCTGCCATCGGCTGCTTCTGACACCCTTGCACTGGTCTGAACTGAAAGCAGGTGTTTTGGATTTTGCCAGCGAGGAAATGGAGGCTCGGAATGCCGTTTGTCACCAACACAAAGCACCACCCCTTCCACGGGGCTCCTGCCTCGCCAGGACTGCCGTAACTGCGGCCTGTGACCTGGCCTCTCTCATTTCTACTGGTCACCTTAAGCTGTGACTGATTTCATGTCACTCCCCCTAACTGTGGTCACCAAAGTTCACCGGTGGCCGTGGTGGTGCACACCAATAATCCCAGCACTCAGGAGCCTAAGCAGGAAGATCGAGAGTTCCAGGCCAGGCTGAGCTACATAGCCAGACCCTGTCTCAAAAACAAAACAAAATTAAATGCTCCTACTATGCGGGGATGAGCTCACTTCTGCCTTTCCTGTCCTCCCATTCCTACAGACTTCATTCAAGGGCCGGCTGCATTCCCCTCCTCCGGGGATGCTACTCTAGCCTGCGGAAGTTAATCCCGGTGACCTCAACACTATGACATCTAAGTGGGACTCTTGTGTCGGGTGTGAGGTCACTTCTTCCTCCTGTCCTCTTAGGGAATTTGGGTGGAGGGGTATTGGCTCCCAAGTCCTCAGCTGCTTTGCCATTTTGTCACCTTTCCGTGGTTCTGTTTGCATGGAGCAGGGAAGAAAATCAGAAGGAAACCCTGAACACCTGGCCTTCTCACCCGGGCGGGGGGAGGGCAAACACGCCCTGTGCTTCCCAAGGACGCTCCATCCATTTCTCCTCTCTGTGCTTTTCCAGGGTCAGATGGCTCTGAGTTCCCTGCAGCCTCTGATGGTGAGCATCAGCAAGAGCTGAGCCCCTGGAGGCCAGACGCTCTGGCCCCTCTGGACTGAGCCTAGCACAAACCCAGTGGCTTAGTGAATGCTCACGATGACCTGGCACCTCTCTGAGCCTGCCCCCCTGGCACACTGCACTTCCTCCCCTACACCTGGTCAGCTGGCGTCCCTGGCAGAGCGAGGCCCAGCCCCTCTCACCAGACAGCATGCGGCCCCTGCGGGAGGCCTCGGTCGCCAGGGCACAGGAGATTTCAATCCGCTTCTCCTGCTCCTGCAGCTGGCTCTCTGAGTCCTGGGGCACGTCCACAGAGTCCCCCTCGCCGATGGGCACCACGTTCTGCATACTGAAGAGGCACAGACACACAGACATGGAGGGAGGGGACAGCATGGTCCAGTTGGCTTGGGGTGGTCTGCAGCTGAGGTTGGCGGGGAGAAGCCAGGGGCCTTTGAGTATGCAGCCTCTGGTGCCCAGCGAGGCTGTCCCTAGGAGCGAGGGAGACCCTGGCCAGACTGTTGGGATCCCTACCCTCGATGCTTTCAAACGAATTGTCAAACGTTCAAGTGAACATGTGGGGCGGCCTCGAAGGGAGGGAGGATGAGCTGAGGCGCCCTCCATTTTGTGCACAAGCCCAGCAGGTCTTTCTGGGGCCCAGAGGCAGCATCCTCATTTCTGCCAGAAGCCTGGATATAGTCTGCTGCCCTTGGCCACTGCTTCTGTTTTTCTCTACCCCGGGGAGGCAAGGTGCCAGCCACCAAGACATCTAGCAGCCTAGGAACTTAGGTGCAGGGAGGGCAGCGAAATGGAGGCTGGCCTAGGCCTATCACCTGGACTTGGCAATGAGCGTCTTGATCCTCTCCACTTTCCTCTGCTTCTCCTTCAACTCCTCGGGGCTCAAGGGGGTGTCTGGTTCCAGGTCAATGTACCGTTCAGGAATGAGGACTTTGTCTGGAGTGGAGAGCTGCGGAGGAGGGCCAGAGGTCACCACCTGCACCACCACCACCACCACCCCACCCCCGCCACCACCCTCCCTCAGCCCCACCCTGAATCCACTCACCTCCTTACTGATGTCCACGTGATAGTGCTGGGGCTCCAGCTCCATTTTGCGAAGCCGGGCAATTTCCTCCCGTGGTGTCTCGTAGGCCTGGCCGCCAGGTTCCTCGGCCCTCAGGGCTGCCTCCAGGTTGGAGATGTCCACTTCGTGGATGCTGCGGTGACGGCGCACCTGGAGAGATAGCACTGTCGTGACCACCTCTCTTCTACCCATGTCTCCCTCCAGGCAGGTGTTACTATTCCTGCATCCTTGCCGCTGGCGAGCATCCTTGGCCAGGCTCCCACTGGCCTGCGCTGCACAGCCAACTCCTTCCTCTCTGTTCCCAGCACCTGCCCACAGCGAGGCCCAGAGGCACAACCTCTAACTATCTGTCAGTGCTCACTCCTGTACTTACACCTTGGGCAGCAGAAGCAGTGTGTCCCATATTGATTTCTTTTGTTGTTTGTTTGGTTTGGTTTTTTCTTTTTCTTTTTTCTTTTTTTGTTTTTCGAGACAGGGTTTCTCTATGTAGCTTTGCGCCTTTCCTGGAACTCGCTTGGTAGCCCAGGCTGGCCTCGAACTCACAAAGATCCGCCTGGCTCTGCCTCCCAAGCACTGGGATTAAAGACGTGCGCCACCACTGCCCAGCCCCATATTGATTTCTAATAGTCTGAAGCTGTGGAAGTTCTGAACTACTGACTTGAGCAAAACTGTATGAAGGCAGAATTTGCATCCAACTTTCTCTATTTCTGAAACTTACTGTAGAGAAAAGTTAAGTAGCTGCCTTGGCTACACCCACCTCTGCACTTAGAGCTGTGAGACCCAGCAGGCTCTCTGTTTCTCTTGACTTGATCTCCCTGTCTATAAAACAGGGGTGACAGATTTGAAATCACTGCTGCCACTGATGGGGTTAAACGAAGGAATATACTATGGCTGTCCTCAGGGTACCCAGGCCAATGCTCACTACACAGAATGTACCCAGAATCACATGAAAGTGATAGCTCTTTCTACATGATGGATTTTGCACTATTCTCTACCAAATTAACTTTCTGCTTTTTAATTGTGTGTGTGTGTGTAAGCACATTACATATAGTGTGTTTGTGGGTGCCTGCTGAGGCCAGAAGATGGTTTTAAGATCTCCTTAATTAGAAGGAGGCAATTGTGAACCATCTGATGTGAGTACCAGGAACTGAACTCCCGTCCTCTGTAAGAGCAGTAAGCGCTCTCAAACACTAAATGAATTTTTGAATACTTCATTTCAGCAAAAACATTCATCATCCTTTTTTTTGGGGGGGAGCATTACTTTTCATTAAACATAAAGCAGAAACATGGGCTGAAGGAATTCTATGTGTGTGTGTTGGGGGGGGGGGGGTATCCCAGGAGCCCTGCTAAGTTCTGCTTGGTCTCTCCTTCAAGCTCCCTGGCCCAGGCTGGCCATGGGCAGAGAGCAGCAGTATGGACAGATGGCAGACTCAGGCCTGTGGGCAGCTGGGAGGACATTACCACTTTGTAGGCAGGCCGGGCGCTAGGTTCCGGAGCTGGGCTGGCTGGGAGCTGCAGGCTCCTCCGCTTTTCCTTCATGGAGCCACTCTGATGCCGCCTCATCCGGTCGATCTGCTCCTCCACGCTCATCTTCACCTTGCCCTCTCCGGAGAACACAGCACTCTTGGGGCGCTCTTGCTGTAGTGAGGAAACAAGGCTCGGCCAGGTGCTCCCCACCCCACCAGGTTGCCCATGGCTCCAAGTGCCCCAAATATTCCTTCTGCAGGTAGCCTGCCCATAGAGGGCTGAACAATGGTTCCAGAGAAACATGTCACATTTATTCCGGCCCCTGGTGCCTGCAAAGGTGATTTTATTTGGAAACATGAGATCATCCTGAATCAGAGCTGACTTGGATCTGTCAGCAACTGTCCTTGTAAAAGACAGAAAAGATGACAACATGGAGCAGAAAGAGGGTGATGAAGATGGGGTCGGAGGCTAGAATGACTCATCCACATGCCAACACATGCCAAGTCCGATTAGCTGGATCCACACTAGGAGGGAGGCTGGATGGACCCTCCCTCAGCACCAGCAGCAGCGACCACCCACCCTGCCAGCACCTTCATTCTGGACTCCACACACAAACCAGGAACAGATTCCTGTTGTTTGTAGCTACATAGGGCATGGTGATTTGTTTCAGGAGCCCCAGGTAGCCTATAAAGACTGGGGTGCTAGGAAATGGGGTGCTAAGAAATACTCAGCATAGCAGAAGAGACTTCAGAATCAAGAAATGTGGAGAGGCCAGGAGAATTTTAAGGGGAACAATGAGGGAAAAAAAAATCCTAGATTTCATTGGTAGAAACGGGGACTTCAAAATGATTCTGGTGAGCTCATCAAGCATCTCGGGAGCCAGAAATAGTGATGGGCCACCCAAGAAGGCTTTGAAGAGATCCCACAATGGACAGCGTGGATCCCTTTAAATCTAGCAGGGCCACGTGTGCTTTTGAGAACGCTATCAGAACCAACTCTGCCAGTTTGTGGATAAAATGAGGATGTGGAGAAAAAGCTATCCGATTTCTGGGCATGACAGAGGCAAGAAATTGACTAACAGAGCTTCTTAGCTATAAATGCCAGGTACCCCCTCCAGAAAAGGTAGGCTGACCCTGAACGAAAAGCCCTGGCTACGGAAAGACCAGTCTGGCACCAAGGGCTGGTAGAACCTTCACCTACCCACAGGCAGGACAGTGAGCCCCAGAAGACTATCCTCAGGCCCTATAGCCTTGGATATAGGCTCCAAGGCAATAGCTCAGAGGTACAGCATTTGGCCAGCACACACAGCACTCTGAGGTTTGATCTCAGCATTGGCAAACAACAACTTGCTTGAGGTTGGAGATCCTTTTATTCCTTCTAATTCTCCTTTGGGACAAGAATGATTATCTTGGGGCCAGGGAGATAGCTCAGCAGGTGAGAGTGCCAGCTGTGCAAGACCAATGACCCAAGTTCGATCCCCGGAGCCCAGGTAAAAGGCTGGATGTGACCTGTAACCCCAGCACTACTACCCTGAAATGCGAGTGAAGATGGGGGATCACCTGGAAGTTCATGGGCCAGCAACAGAGAGAGACTCTTTCTAACAAGGTAGAAGGTGAGAACTGGTTCCTAAAACGTGTCCTCTGATCTCCATGCATGTATCATGGTACACACACACACCTGCACCCACCCACACACACACATACATGATGAAAAAGTAAATAAATTCTTAAAAAAGATGATCATAACAAACACGATCTAGAGTCCCATGCACACCTGCTAGACAGGATCCCGATGATGAGTTATGGGACTTATCTTCTTTGTGTGGGGTGGGGGTGCACGCGTGCACACGTTTGGGTGAGGACTCACTCACTTGTGCATGCATGTGCGGAGGCTGGAGACTGATTCCAACCTTCTTCCTCTACTGCTTCTCACCCTGCTTTTTTGAGACAGGGTCTCCCACTGAGCCCGGAGCTTACTGTTTTGGCTAGACTGGCTGGCGGTGAGTTCCCTGGCTACGCCTGTCTTTACACTCCGGAAGGTGGCTTTCAGGCCTGGCTTTTACAAGGATATTGGGAATCTGAGCTCAGGTTCTCAGGCTTGCAAAGCAAGAACTTTACCCATGGAGCCCTCTCTCCAATCCTGTCTGCCTTTGTTTCTTGAGACAGGATCTCATTCTGTGATCTAGGCTGGCCTAGAACTCACTGTGTAGCCTCAGCCTCTTAAGCCCTGGGGATACAGGCATGAGTCATCGTGCCTGGCTGGAGATGTGGGGCTTCTGAGCTAATAATAGTTAGACGAGATTTTAGTATTAAAGTTAATGATGTCATGAGTTGAGATTTTGGGGTTCCTGGAATAGAAGGAGTACTTTTTCAAGTGGAATGGCAAGAATTTGGCACTATAGTTGTTGAATAGTGATCCCCAAGATAAGTCTAAACCATAGCCCCTTAGGCCTGAGACTATGCCCCTTTTTGGAAACAGGTTTCTACAGTTGTAATTAAGAATCTGAAGATGAGGTTATCATGAATTTAGGGACCCCAAGTCCAATGAGGAGTGTCCCTTTAAGAAAAAGAGAGGACATACAGAGAAGGCAATGTCAGAGTGATTTGATGGATACTAAGCCTGGTGGGGAAACACTATTCACCGGGAGAGGCCTGGGACACAGTCTCTCAGCTTTCCAAAGGAGCCAACACTGGTGGCGCCCTGACTTTGGACTTCTGGCCTCCAAACTGGAAGCATAAAGTTGTGCTGTTTTAAGCCACGAGGCACATGTGGTGATGGGTTAATTCCCAGGAGCCCTAGGGAACTAACAGCACCCTGCACTCTGGCCTCTGTTCTCCCTGTCACATCCTATCCGGCCAACAGCATGCTCTGACAATGTTAAACACGTTCCGGTGTTTACCATGCTCCTCTCCCTTGACTCTTGACATGTCTGTGAAGGACCATTCTTCCTCCCACGGGGTCTAACTCCCTCCCTAGCTCTGGGTCTTGAGTGGTCATGACCACTGGGCACACGCCCTCAGAGCCTGCGAGCATGCACTTACCCGTGAGGAGAGGCCATTGGTGAGGCCATTGGTAGTCCTTCTCATTAATGCTGATGGAGTCATCTCTTCCTCAGCAGGAGATTTTGTCCGAGGGGGCACGATGCCAACTACAGTGAGACAGAGCAGACAGAGGGCCTTGTGGGAAGTCAGGGGCTAGAAGCCCCCTGCTTCTTAGGGAGAGGCCTGGTTGCTCTCTCCACCTAGGCTGAGGGTCGGTGAGCATCCTCCTTCAGCATGAGGGAGCACCTTAGCCTCACTTAGGCCAGTGTGGGCCGAAACATACCTTTGTTGAGAGCTGCCTGTTTCTCTGCCTCCACCTCTTGTCTGGTGGGCACAAGGCTGATGTCTCTGGGAGGATCCAGGGGTGATGTCTGGTCGGGGTCTTTCTTGTTTGGCTCATAGCCTGTTTTGGGCTGGGAAGGAGGGATGAAAAGATGGCTGGTGTTAGGGTGAATGCTAGATCTGGCCTCCTTAATGCCTTCTTTCAAATCCTTTAAGATATAAAAGGCAGGGAAATCGCACAGGTGCTGGCTAGCTCGTAGTGGGCCAGGGCGGCTCTTACCTATGTATCACAGACTGTGCTCTCTCGGGGATGAGAGCCAAGAAGGGTTTCCTATTAGGCTAATCAGGGAGGTCCTTGCCCAACCCAGGTATCTTGGAAAGTTTGAAGAAGTACAGATTGTGTGTGGGCTCTGGATCATAGGAGGAGTCACCAGAGGGGGCTGCAAATCCTAGGGTCTCTGGGGATCCTGCCGGGATCTGTGCAGACTAGGCAAAAAGAACCCGGTGGCTGGCCCTTGATACCAGGATTCCGGGGACGTGAAAAAGGCATTTGCTTGTGGGTCTGCAGAGCCTTGAGGCCTCAGACAGCCTCTGGGCAACCCCTTCCTATTGTACAGTCAAAGAGTCTGAGCCTCACTGGAAATTCAGGAAATAAGAAATAAGGCTAGAATCTGAAACCATAGCAATCGCCCAGCCAGAAGCCCAGGCAATAGGCAAATCTTGTCCATTTCCTGGTGTACCAGCTACAGGCAATGCCAACTCTTCTGCCTGTCTTACTGGCAAGGCCTCAGCTACACAAACTACATATAACGGAGTCTGGATAGACCATGGGTCTCCCAACAACATACAACCAAGTCCCAGTCTCATTGTCCACCTCTGTGTCCTGACTAAGGACCTAGGTGAGAGGCCCACAGGGGAGATGAGGGCCTGTGTCCTTCCTTACAGACTAGAAGCTCGTGAGACTCAGCGAGAACAAGACAGAGGCAGCGAGAACACAAGAGGACTGGAGTCTGAGTTGGGCAAGGGACAGAAAGGGCCTGGGATGGCACGGGGGAAGGTATGACTCCATGTCCTTTGGTTTAGTCACGGTGGTGGGGCTCTGCACCCACAGCCATCAGGATTGGGGAGGATTGTAATTCGCTTTCCATTGTTCACAGGAAGCAAGAGGGAAGATGGCCTGTGAGACTGTTGTTACCCAAGGGCGGCCCAGGAAAAATAGAGCTTTGTGGAAATGCGTGGGAAAACAAGCCCAGTGTCCTACACTGCCCCTCCCCGGGTCTTTGTCCCATACCGCACCGTCCCACCCTCCAAACCCCAAGGATGCTGGGTACCTGACCCCTGGCTGTCTCGCCACTGTGATGCCAGGAAGGGGAGTTGGGGTATGGCCAGAAGCGGCTCTCACTAGGGAGTGGAGGGACCGTGGGGGGAGAGTCCAAGGGGACGTAGGCTTTGGGGAGGGGCGGCCGAGGTGGGCCAGGTTCCTGAGGCAGAGAGAAGCCAGAGCGTTAGGAGGAAGGAGAGCGGCCACTGTGAGAGCAGAAGAGAGAGTTAGCAGGAGCCAGACAGCTTCATTCTATGACGCACACCCCAGGCCTGGGCACCGCACCCCAACCCCGGCCTGGCAGAGCTCCACACCCACTGACAGCCCTCTGCCTGGCCCTTAGGCCTTCCTCAACGGAGCCCCTCCTGCCCACCTCCCCACATCTCTCCCCGTTTTTCCAAAGCTCCCTCAGCACCGCCTCCCCATCACACCAGGACTTTCCCATTCTGTATCCCGGCCACCACCTTTCTTGCCTATACTCCATTCAGCCTCTCCCTGACCAGACACACCCTGGTCCCATTTAAGACCCACTCTCTCCTTCCTTGGAGTACCGGAGTCTTTATAGTGTGAACCACATGACTCATTACTGATACGCCACCCACGTCTCCTGTAGGTTATAGCCTACTATGAATTGGTCCCTGCTGGATGCTGGCTCTCTGAACAAAGGGCCTGGGGGGGGGGGCTGCCTGGGAACCTTTTCAAAGAGCTTCATTCCATCCCAGGAACGCTGACTGACCGACCGACTGACTGACCGACCGACCGACTGACTGACTGACTAGCAAGCAGCTCCCTGTGCTGACTGACCCTCAACCCCCCTCACCTCAGGACTCTCCTGATTTATATTCCCACCAAGTAGAGGGGAATCTTTGGAAGTCATCTTGGGTCTCAGGAAGACTTCCTTGTGAGGCAGCTAAATTTAGATGACAGGTGGAGACGGGAGTGGGTGCAACGGAAACCCCAAGGAAAGGTCATAAAACTTCTGGGAGAACAGTTCCTAGATACCGTGAACCCAAATACTAGGATGGGGCCCCTGGGGAAGAGGTGGGGAGACCGTGTGGTCAGGATCTGGCCTTCCTGCCCCCCCCCATGATCCTGTACTGTTCTCCCAGCTTACCTCGCTAGACCCTGGCTTGGTTGGAGATCCCTGAGAACCAGACACCATTGAAAAGGGGCTCAGGGGACTGGTAAGGCTGGCAGAGCTGAGAGGGCTGGCTGGGCTGTTGGAGCTATAGGTAGTTGAGGGGCCGAGTCCTCCTGGAGAAACAGAAGAGAGGGGTAAAGAGTGGAGGACGGTGTGGCGGGGTGTGCACATGGGGACAAGGGGCGGAGGAGGCAGGGGAGGCCCCCACAGTGTTAGGGTCACAGGCTGGCTCCTAAGAGGTCCTCGAGGCCGCGGACACAGCGTCGAGGTGGACACCACAGCCTCTGAAGTGTCAGGGTCAGCTCTAAGGTCATGCGTGGGTCCTTTAGTGGTAGTCGGCGGGGATGCGACGAGAGTCCAGGCATGGAGGTGCCTACCTCTGTGCTTGGCCGTGTCCGTGCCCCGAGACGGGTTGTTCTTCCTCAGCCCTTCCATCACGTCTTGGATCCTCCAGATCTCCTTCTGAATTTGCCGACTGAGCACCTCATTCTGGAAGAGCCGCAGTGTGACTCAGGATGTGCCCGGCCTGCCCTGGGCCTGGACCCCTCTGATCAGGAGCGTTTGGAATCCCCGTGTTCCTGCATACACACCCCTCTCCAGCATACATATCTTTCTTATGGGAAGTCTCTGCCTCTTTAGCTAATATAAAATTGTATCCCCCCCCCCGCCAAAAAAAAGCCAAGGGCTCAGACGCAAGAATAAGGAACCCCTACTGAGCCCCCACGGGGGACCAGGGGACATTTCCTGTTTTCCATGGGGCAAGACTTTCCAGTGGGTTTTTGTCTTTGGTCCTTTTTTTTTTTTTTTTTTTTTTTTTTTTTTTTTTTGTCTTTTTTTTTCACATTCCAACAGCCTAGCCATGAGCTACATTCTACTACAGCTCACATTCTGAAATTTAACAGCTGCCACTTATTCTGTGTGCCTCGGTACCAGGCGCACTCCAAATGCTTTGTGTGTACTAACTCATCTCGGCTGCAGGACCAAGGTACCGAGAGGCAGTGGTTCCTGCTTCGGAGAGGAGAGAGGAGACTGTGTCCAGGGCCATGCTATGAGGAAGCCGCACAGCCAGGGTCTCAGGATGGGTCCTTCTGAGTCAGGAGTTGGTGCTCTTGCCCACGGCACGGCCCTCCTCCCTCCTAAAATGTGTGCATTTAAAGTGCAGCTGGACCTTGGGGTGTGGTAGTAGTATCTGGGTCCTCTGGGTCTCCACTTTACCCTGCCCAGCCTAAGGTATGGAGGTGAATTTTGTCATCAGGAGAAAAGCAGGGTGTTAACTGTATCTGAGGAACAGAGCTTGCAAACCCAAAGAGAAGAAGCAGGGCTTGGCCAGACATAAGACAGGGGAGAAAAACATAAACCAGAAGTCTCCAACATCTACCGCCGTCCTCCAAGCCCCGGAAGAGAAGCTCTGTTGTTCCTAAAGCCGTAGAGACGGCTCCTACAGTGCCAGCTTTTCCAGGGTCTTGGGAGGTATTTATATCCACATATCTGTTTTTAAATCCTTTCAGCCACAGAATATCCTGCTTCTAACCCAAGTCTCTTGCCTCATTAGTTCCAGCCCCTGTGAGTTGAGAAGAATATTCTCATGCTGTCTTCAGCCTAAAAGTATAGCCTTCAGTGGCCCGAGACAATCTGTTCTTCCTTATCTCTCCTCTCTCCTTCTCTCTCAGTGTCTCTCTCTATCCTTCTCTCTCCCCTCTCTCTCCCCTCGTCCACCTCAGGACCAGCTCCTTGTCTTATACTGAAATGGCTGAATCAAGAAAGGCAACCACTTTGTTGTCCTTTGCCACAAAGGACAAGGGAAGGGACAGAGCACATCTTTGCCCCCTCCCCCCATGCTTAGGGCTCCCCACCCTCTTTTACCTGGATGTCCAAGTTGAGCTGTTCCCAGAGGTCTTCATGTAGGGCAGAGACCTCAGACTCGAGGTTCTCATACACCACTGTGCTGTTGGTCAGAGCCTGCAGGGGGTGGGGGAGGATTACTAAATGTGGTAGTTCATCTCGACTGGATTTAAAATCACCGTAGACACACACCTCCAGGTGTGCCTGTGAAGGTGTTTCGGGGAGGGGTAACTGGGTAGGGGCGATGTGTGTGTGTGGCGCCATCACACAGGCTTAGGACTGGGATTGACTATAAAGGGCGTGGCGAGCTGAGCACCCCAATCCATCTCTGCTTCCTGAACGTGGGTGCAAGTGACCAGCTGCCCACCATACCCTCCCCACAATGGCGGGTGTGTTCCTTCAAACTGTGAGTCAAAAAAACCCTTCCTCGGTGTGCTGATTGGCTGGGGGATGTCTTTCCGTATGCTGTGAATATGTGTGGCTCCCATTGGATAATAAATAAAGCTGCTTTGGCCTCTGGCAAGGCAGCTTACAGGCAGGCGCGAAATCCAAGCAGAGATAGAGAGAGAAGAAGGGCGGAGTCAGGGAGACGCCAACCTGCCGTCCAAGGAACAATATGTAATGGGACACAGGTAAAGGCACGGAACACGGGTGATACACAGATTAATAGTAATGGGTTGAGTTAAGTTATACAAGCAAGAAGCCATAGGCCATACAGTTTGTAATTAATATTAAGCCTCAGAGTGATTATTTTAAAAGCGGCCTCGGGACTGCCGGACCAGGTGGGACTGAAGAAACTTCTGGCTACACTGATTCTCTCCCCATCGAGACCCTCCTTCTCCTCTGGGCTGTGCTTTCCTGGGCCACTGTGATTGGAACAAGCTGTGTGTGCGGAAGGATCTGCCCTTGTCCTCCTGGCTGGGCAACAGCCAGCCAGCCAGTGCCCTGCTTCCCCAAGGCAGAGGGCAAAGTGGGCAGCATACGGGCTGGATAAACCAAGGTACTCAGTAACCCTCAGCTACGACCCTGCCTCACAGGAACCCTGGTGCACACGCAGCCTGCGGGAAGTGAGCTTGCTCTCTGGGTGGAGACACTTTGGAATGAACGGGTGGGCAAGCTCGCTGTCTGCGCATGCCCCTGCAGCAGGAGTGCCCCTGCAGCAGGAGTGCCCTTGCAGCAGGAGTGCCCCTGCAGCAGGAGTGCCCTTGCAGCAGGAGTGCCCTTGCAGCACTCTGCTCTTACTGTCTCTGGAGACAGCCGGGTCAGGGCGGCACAAAGGGAAGGTCGAGGGCCACAGCCCCTGCTCCCGGGCCGTTACCGTGGTCGCCTGTGACAGCTCCACCCGGATGTTGATGAGCTGGTTCTGTAGAGACTCCTTTTTGTGCAGCAGCTTCTCTGGGTAGGCAGGCTGGCTCCCGAACATCTCCAGCTCCTGGTGGGTCCCCATCAAGGCACTCTCCAGGCTCTCCTAAAGAAAGACGGGGATGGCGTGAGCTGCCCCCCAGTGACCCTCTCTAGATGCCTGAGCTCCCAGCAGCTCCATCAGGCAGCTTAGCAGAGGTTATCCTCATACTGGCTACTGTCCCTTGGAGATAAGAAGTCTAATGAAGAAAAAGTCTCTCGCTGGGCAGTGGTGGTGCACGTCTTTAATCCCAGCGCTAGAGAGGCAGAGGCAGGTGGATCTCTGTGAGTTCAAGGCCAGCCTAGGCTATAGAGTGAGTTCCGGGAAAGGCTCCAAAGCTACACAGAGAAACCCTGTCTCAAAAAAAAATAAAAATAAAAAAAAGGTCTCTCAAGCTTTCTAAGGACAGAGATGGCATCTCACACCATCCCCATGCCACAGAGATGGCATCTCACACCATCCCCATGCCACAGAGACGGCATCTCACACCATCCCCATGCCGCAGAGACGGCATCTCACACCATCCCCATGCCGCAGAGATGGCATCTCACACCATGCCGGCCCCGTCTCTAAAACACCCCAGACTCTCACCTTCTCTGCACGCAACTGCTGCACCAGCCGGTCCTGCTCCCTCACCACCTTGTTCTGCTCACACAGCTTGCCCAGCAGCTTCTAAGGGTCCAGAGGGGAGAAAGGAGGAGATGAAGGGCATGCTTTGGTGGGGACTTGGGAATCGGGTTGGCGGGACCTGGCCTCTGCATACCGCCACTTTCCCCAGCCAAGGAACCTGGGCCTTCACCATCACCTTGGAGGCTCTGGGAAAGAGCATGATGGAGCTCTCCATCTTAGGAAACACGATACAAGTGGAGGAAGTGGGGGAGTCAAGTGCATCCCTATCCTGCCGTGGGGGTACGGTGCCCAGAAGCCTGAGAGGACAATATGGCCTCACCTCCTTGGCGCAGGCAGGGGCCAGACAGGGTATGGGAACAGGTAGTCTTAAAAGGGCCCCAGTCTCTCTTTTCCTGAGATTCTGAGTTCTCTTCCTCTAAGGCAGTGGTTCTCAACATGTGGGTCATGACCCCCATGGGGGTTGCATATCAGATATTTGTATTACAGTTCCTAACAATATCAAAATTACAGTTACGAAGTAGCAACAAAATAATTTTATGGCTGGGGTCACCACAACACGAGGAACTGTATTAAAGGGTCGCGGAATTAGGAAGGCTGAGAACCGCTGCTCTAAGGTCTCGGGACGGCTGACGGGATCCCCTCTTAGTGGGTCCTTGCCTGAACCTCCCTCCCAGGCCTCTGCCTGGGTCTCCTGCTGAAGCAGGATCAGTGGTGGTGGAGAGGCAGGAGGCAGAGCCCACTCAGTTCTGAGGAGTCTTTTTCTCTCTAACTCATGTCTTCCCCTCGGTCCTCTTTCTACTGAGCCAAACCTTGCCCTTTGGGGCCTTTCACCTCAAGGCCTTTCCCATTGGCTACCTATTTTGTCCTTGACCCACTCATTGGTCACGTTCAGTCAATGAATCAGATGTTGCCGTCTGGTGCTACGTGGAGCCTCCCACTGCATGAAGCTCCTGGAGGGCAGAAGCAGGCCATACTCTCTTTAGCATCTCACGGTGTCTAATAAAGGCTGGCACGAGCATCTCACGGTGTCTAATAAAGGCTGGCACGGAGTGGACTGACTGGTTTACCATCTAACAAAGCTGAAGTCTTGGCCCTAAGCAAACCCCACTGATGGAGAGGGGTCCACGGCTTGGTAGGGAAGCCCAGGTCCAAAGTGGGAGGTAAGGCAGTGCGATGTCCAAGAAGAGAAGGGGATGGAGGGGGAAGCAGATGGGATGCTGTGTTTGTGGTCCTGATGAGAGGACAGGAGTCAAATGTATGAAACGCCACCAGCAGAGGGGGTAGGGAGGATGGAGAAAAGCCCCATAGGGGGAAAGCAAGGATGAGGAGGACAACATGATTATGTCGTAGCCAGGAGCAGGGAGAGCTGCCCTTACATCCGTGTCTTGCTCGTTTAACTTGAAGGTGTGGAGGCCGTCCCGGAACACCTCTGGGTATGCAGGGACCTGCAGGAACATGAGGGCGGTTACTGCAGCAGGAGCCAGATGAGGCTAGGTGAATGGGGAAAAGCTGACATCACAATCCTGCTTCATTTCTGCCAGAGACCACTGCCCATCGCGCCTGATGCTTCCGTGCCAGCAGGGGCTCAGCTAATTCTACGTCCTGTGGCCGGGAAGTCTGTGATGGCACAGTCTATAGACTTCATCCTGATTGTCCGTGGCTGATTCTGGAGAGGTCAGAACTTGGCTGACCACAGTGACCTGTGTCTCCTGTGCCCCGGGGAGGCCCTGCTGGAAGGTAGGGCTCTCGATGGCAACATCATGAGAACAGCCGTGACTCCTGGGCAGTTTGTAGGGACAGCGTGTGAGAGCATGGCAGGGATAAGCCACCAGAAACCTGGAGAACTGCAGTCCCCGTAAACTGAATGCACCAATCACAGAGCCCGCTCTAAGCCAGGACTGGCAGGATTCCAAAAGCATCAGGGGAGCCAGCTAACGCTGCCTTGTCTTGACAACCCAGCAGCCATCGTAACACAGTGTTTCACAAACACTCGATATCCTCCCTTCATGCCCCAGCCCCAGGAATATCTGTCAAGAACCACAGCAACCATGAACTGGGCATCCTGGGCATTCCAAAGCAGGTTTGTAATCCTCAGCGTGCATGAGATGCTGCTGCTGGCTGTTTTGATGGTTCGGGGAAATGCACCTTGGGTTCATCCATGACCGTGAAGAATGGAGGAGGCATGGTGGGGCTGGGGGGGGGGAGACTGGGCAAAATCTGTGTCAGGGGAGATGAGGCTGGGCAGATGAATGGGTCGGGTGAAGCGGGAGCTCATCCCACGTGGGGTGACCCCAACCATGCACAAGCAGCTGAGATGGCATCGACAGGACCATGCCGGCAGCGGGCAGAGGCCTTACTTGCATGAAGAGCTGCGCCCTGGGGGAGGAACTCCCCACCATACGGTTCACCATGCTGATGAGAGTCTCGCTCTCACTCATCTGCAGCAGAGGAAGGAACGGACGGACGGACGGTTCACTCGGCCCTGGGGATGCGTGGATCTCCCCCCACACACACACACACCCCGTGGCTCTCTGCAGTAAACGGGGGTGGGGCAGCTGCTCTTGGGGCCTCCAGCACCCGGGGCTTGGCCTCACCACTTCTTCACCCTGCGAACTGCTTCAGGACCAGTACTGATGGATGCTGTCCTCGGGCGAATGCCACTTGCAGGGTGCTGGGAGGCCACGAGACCCCCGCGAGGCCCGAGGACTCTGCCCTAAGGGTGCCTGCCACAAACTGGCCCATCTGTCCCCTCCTTCCAGTTTCTCACAGGAAGACCACACCGTGGGAAGGCCAGTCTCCTCAAACTGACACTAAACTGACCTAACGCAGAAAACCTGGGACTGTTCTCCACGCAGCACACCCCTCCCCACCTCCTGGACAATCACTAAATAGTTTTCCAGAGCTGGGCTGGCAGCATCCATGAGAGTCTCGGATGTCACTGGGAAGCAAACAAGGAGGCCAAGACAAGTGAGGCACGTTAAAGGGACAACCAGGTGTCGGAACGCTGCTCTCTACCACGTCATCCTTTAATTTCAAGGATCACTGGGAAAGTGGAAGGGGAGGCTGAAAGGGGGAGGGAGGGATGGAGGGAGGGAGGGACGGAGGGAGGGCCAACCAAACCAGTCAGCTCTGCCCTCACTTGCCCACTGGTTCCACTGGGAGAGAATCAAAATTGAAACTGTCAGGGAACGTCCTCGGTTGTATCCCTTTAACTGTGTGTTCCACGGCAGATGGTGGGAGAAGACAGGAGGGAGATGTACAGGGAAAGCTTTGCAGCCATAAAGGAACAGCAAAGGACGGAGCCACATTAGGGACGACCTTGTGGGGTCAGAACTCTATCCACCGTCTCCCTAGTCTTGGTCGGGCCTGCTCTCTTTTCTTCCTCTTCCCCGCTTGAGGCAGCACCCCAAACACAGCTCTGTTTCTGCCATGCTATGGGCAGAGCAGAGGCAACCAGTGCCCCCAGCTGCAGGGTCTGCAGCATTTTAATTAAAAACCAAAAAACGTTTACTCTATGCGTACATTCTGCCTGCGTGTATGTCTGTGTAGCATATGCCCACAGAGACCAGAAGAGGGCACTGTACGCCCTAGAACTGGATTTACAGGGGGTTGTGCTGGCAACCAAACCTGGGTCCTCCGGAAGGGCAGCCAGTGGTCTCAACTGTGGGGCCAGCTCTCCACCCTCAGGTCTGCAGGATTTTAAAAGACTTTTCTAGCACTCAGTTTTTCTACTCCTGTAAGCCTAGTTAGAGTTTTTCCATGGGATGTAAAGGCTTCAAGAATGCCCATAGTATGAGGGTGAGTATAAGATCTATAGACACACAGGTCAGCCTCCTTATTTTGTCTAAAGATCCGAAGTCAATTCAGTCCCTCTCTACTAAGAGAGACCATGTGTGCGCATGTCTGTGTGCACACGTTTGTGAGTGTATAGTGAGCAAAGGGAGGCTATCCCTGGGCACCCATTGACCTCGCTTCTTTCCCATAGGAGGTTTGCCCTAACAATGCCCCACAGAGGGCTCCCACGTGCTCTCCAATCTGATTCTGCCACTAGTCTGCCGAAGAGCAGCCTCCACTGTGTCTGAAAACAAAGAAGCCGGAGACTGACACATTCCCCCAGTGCTGCCCAGTACCTGGCTGTGTCTGGCCCCTCCTCACACAGGATTGCCTATAAGGACACTATCCTACAGGCAGGAGGGTCATCCAGGTGACTTCTGAAGACCCTAGCAGTCAGCCCCTCCAGGAAGGCAAAAGCCACTCGGTGTTAAATGCTTGGACAGCCAGCCATTTTGGACAGGGCAGAGCAAGCCACAAGGCTACAAAGACAGCCTGCTGGGGAGGCTCCCTCTGGGAGGACCCAGCACTCCCAGCCACACTTGGGAGAGGACATCCTGGGTTTCATCCCCACATGGCCCAGAGTGCTTATGGCATGAATACAATGCACTGCTTTTGGAACAAGAATGCCAGGACCTTGAGAGCCAGAAGCTGGCCCTGATGACTAAACTCTGGCAGGCAGAGCTTCCCAGTGCCTAAGGCCTTTTACAGAGATGATCTCATCCTTAACAGGGAGGCCATAAGAGATGACATGTCACATGACTGTTACTGGAAGAACACAGAGTCATAGCAGTGAATATAGCCACTCCGAGGTCACGTTTCTGCCTACAGATTTATGAGCATGAACTTGTCCTGATGAGATATGATGCTGGCCTTGTCTCCCAGCTACAAGCTGGGGTAAAAGCTAAGTTCTGCTATTTGCTGGCTGGGTCCTTGGCATGTTTTGTTTTTTAACCTCTGTGCTTTATTTACTTTTCTGTAAAATAGGATGGTCACAGTTCCCATCTTTAGAATTACTACAAAAATTAAAAGGATTGTGATCTATTATATTCAGTCTATTATAAGGCATGGAGAAAGCACCAGGCTGCTGTTATTACTATTTTTATTACTATTATTGAGACAGGGTCTCACCATGTAACTTTACCTAGCTTGGAACTCATTATGTAGGTCAGGCTGGCTTCAAACTTACAGAGATCCAGCTGCCTCTGCCTCCTGAGTGTTGGGATTAAAAGCATGCACCACCACGCCTTAGTTATTCTTAATATTATCGCTACGATCATCTCTACTACCCCAGGCTCCCTTCACAGGAAAATGATAAGCACTTCCAGATTCCCTGTGAGTTGTAGCACATATCTAAGAATAAGCGTATGGGTTCACCGGAAGCCTATCTAGACCGAGGTTTCTAGTAGCCCTCTTTGGAGTTAAAAGCAGAGCAAAGGGAAAAGCCTGGAGGAGGACCAGGCAATCAGTAGCTTGTGTCTCACTGGAATATTCACCGCCTGGTCAGCTTGCTCATCATCCAAACTGAGCTGACGTTACCGCCTCTGCCAACCACACTGAATTCTCAGGACCATGAGCTGTATACGCAAAAGAGCTTTGTTGAGGGACTAACAAATACGTGAAATTGATACCATTTTCTTCTAGGGCAAATCTATAGGATACCTGTTTATAACTACGGAGCTTATCAATGACTGGTAAAACAGGATATGACTTCCCAGATCCAGGCTTAACTAAACCCCTGGCATCTTAGGCCCAGATCCTGCCTCTACTCTCTTCAACAAAAATGCCAATTCCCACCTGCCTGGGAGGGCCGCTCCATGTGTGCCCGGCACTGGAGAATGCGGATAGTGGTAGTTGATTATTCGTGTCCCCGTTCCTACGCTTCTCTCCTGAGGACCACCCCAGCTGCCCATAAGGGATTCAGAAGGAGGGAGATGAGGAAGCAAACCGAAGCACAAGCCACTTTGTTGGGTCTTGGCGACACCAACAAAGGTTGTCGGATGGCTGGAGGGTGTCAGGGGGAGGGGGAGCGGGAGGGGGAGGGGACAGGAGGGCATGGGATGGTGAGGGGCACCAGCTCTGCCTACCTGCTGGTCCAAATACTCTAGGTTTCTTTGCAACTGAAGATCTAACAGTTCATCCTACCCGGAGCCCGAGGCCAAAGGGCCCACCAGCAACACAAACAAACAGGAACACACAAAAGAAAACGATAAAAAGAAAAACAAAGAAGAAGTAAAGTAGTTAAGAGTTAGCTAGGCATGGACAGGGAAAAGTCTCTGTCTGGTCCTGTAAGTGGTTCTTGGGTGGACGGGGACGAGACCACAAGCAGGCGGAGAAGGGATGAGGGACACTCTTTCCCAGCGGTTAGCGCTGTTCCACCCTGCGAACCTGATCAGAAGGGTTTCCAAATATTCTGGGGGGAATGGGCTATTTCTGGAAACGCACATTTGCTGTGGATCAAGGCCCTGGAGTCTGAACAGCAGTGTGAGCATCAGCGTGGAGAGTGATGCTCCTGCACCCCGGCCTCCCTCGCCGGGTATGGGACACAGATTTTTTTTAGTGGTGTGGGGTGTCTGCATCTGACCCTCCAGGGGAATACATTTTAGAAGCAGCAACAGCAGAAAAGGGAGCAAACACAATGTGGGTACACTCTTTCTTCCTCGGTCAGAACCCTGTCTGTAGTGGGTAGCCTTCCCCCACGGTGGCATTCCAAACAAAGGCAAGCTGGCCACAAGGCACCAAGGGGTAAGTCCACATGCTCTAGCCTGGGAGACCTAGGCTGGCTCTGCATCCAGCTCACACTCCTAGCTAGCCTTGGCCCCTCCTCTTGCGTGCTGGTGAGAAGAGCTGTGAGCAGGATAGCCTACGCCCTCTGCTCTGTGCCACAGAGGAGAAGAGGCAGCTGGCTCCAAACCCTGTCCTGGGGGCCGGAGGCTTGGTGGGGAAGGAGGAGGTATCCAGAGACTTCTAAAAATACATGGGCCAGGCACTGGGCCCAAAGCATCCCTGGCACCTGCCCCAGTTCAGCTCCACCTTGGGTGGATGCGGGCGAGGAGGTCCTGAGGTGGAGTGGAAGGGAGGAGAGGACGTACCATCTTATCGTGGACCGTGGGGGATGGTGGGTAGTTGTAGGGGAACAGTCCTGCAGGGACTGGCCGCCTGTCTCCCAGGTAATCATACTGGAAGAGAAAGGGGATTGCAGAGGTGAGAGAATATGGCTAGGCTGTGGACTTCCCCACCAACTATAAAGTTCAAGGTTAAGGGAGGGTCTGTCTTCTGTCCCAGAGCAGAGTTCAAACTGAAATGCACAGCAACCCCATTCACAATAACCTGAGTCCTCAAGATCCGCGGACAGACCTTCTCTGTCCTCTTAGACACGGCGCAATGTTTCAGCACAAGCTGGGAATAGGCAGGGTTGTTCCTATTTAGAAGCCAGAACAGCCCCCGAGGCAGCTCGCTTCGGGATGGTACCACAGGCCAGGCTACCCAGGGCAGATCCCAGCTATCCCAGCAATTCCAGCTCTTCTCAGCCGATGGTCTCGGGGGCTTGGGAGGGAGGGGCGGGCTGGTGGCTCACCTTTGGGGAGCTGATGGATCGCCTCATCACATAGGCAGCAGGGTCTGCGTAGATGTCCTCGCTGCGGGGTGGCAGCCGATCAAAACGGGCACTAGGTGAGCGCACGGGGGAGTAGATTCGGGCACGGCTGTAGGAACCCTGGCTGGGCGAGCGGGGCACAGAGTGGGACCGCGGTTGCAAGGACAGGCGTCGCAGGGAGCCAGAGGCAGCATCCAGCTCATCGTAATAGACTGGCTGTCGGGAGGGGCTGGGGATCCAAACAGTGCCATCCTGCCGCCCATAGCTGGAGGGCTCCTTCCATTCACGAAGCTGGTAAGTGGGTCCACCCCCATTCTGGAAGGAGTGCCGCTTGTCCTCCAGGGCCCAGGGTGGACTAATCCTATCGTAGGCTGGCATGGAACAGATGCTGTCTGGCCGCACTCCTGGAGGATAGTACTGGTAATCCTCAGGGTACTGGGACGAGTAGGGGCTGTAATAATCAGGGACCCGGCGGGACACAGGGTAGAACCTTGAAGGACTGACAGAGAGAGAGAGAGGCCATTGTAAGGAAAGTAGACAACATGGACATATCACTCCCCACCCCCCTTGCACCCAGTCCCGTCCTCCAGTTCACAGTAGGTGCTTGAAAAGGTGACTGGAGCCCTGGAGTATCCAGTAAGTCCACAGGTTGGCCACTGCCCAGGCAGGTTTCTAGGCTTATTCTAGAGGTGAGAAAAAAATCCCACCCTCAACCAGCTTCCTAGAGCTGCACCATTTGGAGTTCAACCTGTGTGTCTTTAAAATGAAATGTCCTGGAAGGCAGCTCTAGGCCTTATCTGCCATCTCCATCTGAGTGTAAACCAACTGACCAGGTCCCTTCCAGGACAGGTGGTAGAAGAGCGTACTCAAGTGTGCCATGCTCCTGAAGGATGAAAGTGTGGCTCTCTAGTCACGTGCTATCAGAGCCAGCAGGCTCCCAGGATTTATAGCCAATTGCCCAAGTACCCAATCACCAACAGTGAGATGTTAACTGTCTAGAAAAGTGGGCTTCTTCAGGGCCCAAGATCCCTCCTGAGGCTGTACCCGCAATCCCTGGAGTTCCCTACATCCGAGCTCATTTGCCCTGACAAACACTATCAGGCTCAATAGGTACCACCAAATACTGAAAGCCAGTCATCAGATAAATCCCTATATTTATCCATGGAGCAAACTGGTCATCAAGGAACAATCGGACAAATGAGGTACCTTGTTTCCTTAAAACAACAACAATCCCTCTCCCCAAAAAGCTTGCTATGAACGGTGGCTTTGAAACGATAGCGCTGTTTCAAATGGCATAAGTTGTTTGGACCCCAGTGAGTAGAAGCACTAGGTTCAGATGTTACAGGACCTGCAGCAGGGATTGGTGTGTAAGCTGAACAGCTTCGAGGCCTGTCTCCACACCTGCCTGCCGCCTGCCTACTCCAGGCATGGAGTGCGTCTCTCTTCTCTCCTCTCCTCTCCTCTCCTCCCCTCACTCTCCTCCCTTCCCTTCCCCTCCCCTCCTTTCCTCTCTCTTGCCCCCCCCCTTTCTGAGCCAGAGTCTCATGTAGCCAGGGATATCCTCCAACTTACTATATAGTGGAGGATAACCTTAGAACTCCTAAAACTCCCACCTCTGCCTCTCAAGAGCTGAGGTTACAGGACTGTGCCACCATGCCCCCCCCCCCCCGTCTGCCCTTTCCTTTGAAGGCAGAAGACAGAGAAACAGTTGGAGGCCAGGATTTGGACAAGCTGAGAATCAGGGACTGTGTTGGCTTCCCAGCACAGTCAGCTTCCAGAAGGCTCCCAATAAAGGGATGTCTCATAGGTGACGCCCCTCTTCCCATGCCCTAGCTATAAATGACAACCACCCTCCTCCCCCCACCGGCCACCTCACCTCCGAAGGTCTTCGGGTGGGGGCACCCCCCGGCGCAGGTTCACCCACTGCTGGAGCTGATTCATGGAGCTTTTGCGTTGGGCAATTTTGTCGGGGTCAGTACGTGGTGGAAAGCTCCGCCGGTGTCCCCCAGCGTCCCCATCATGAGGTGGGAAAGCTGTGCTTCCTGGTCGGCTTGGGGAGCCATACTGCCAGCCATTGGGTTGGGCAGGCTGTTCCCCACCTCCTGGGACCCTCGGGCCATCGGGGTAAGGACTGCCAGGCTCTGAGGCTGGTTCAGGTCCAGGTGGGAGGCCATTGGCTTTCACTAGAGGCTCTTTCTTGACGTCGGGCCTCTCCGGCCTCCGCTCGGCCTTCTCACAGCCTCTGCCGTCCCCCTCGCCCCGAGTCTTGGCCTCAGGCTCCGGCTTGGCGAGACTGTGGTGAGGTGGCTGCTGATGGAGCTTGCTGGGGGGGATGTTCTCCGAGTCTGGCTTCTCGTGGCTGCAGGATGCCAAGGTAGAGACTGTCAGTCGCACTGGCCCAGCAGTGTGGGGTAGGGCAGGGGTGAGTGGGTTGAGCGGAGCGGAGAGGAAGAGGCAGAAAGGTAGTGATGGAACCGGGGCAGAGTGACACCCAATCCTTCTTCCTAAATCCCGGGCTTTACTTTAGTGCCGGGCAGTGATGTGATAAAGTCAAATAACCCTCCACCCTCCACTTGCTCGGCCCTCCATTACCCAAATCACTTCCCCTTCTGCTACTGACATGGAGCCCAGCCCTTGGATGTGGTAGCCCCTCATTTTGGTCTTGTCTGTTATCTGTCTCCAACCAGCCCGCCAGACCCAGCCAGCACTGTACCCCAGTTTCAGAGAAGTACAGAGACTTGTTACAGGTCCACCCTGTGTCTTTCCACAAGTCACCGGCCGAATGGACAACACCACCTGCCCTCAGAGGGTTGCTATGAGATTCAGCATGGTGGGCAGCAAGGGTACAAGTTGTTGTCTCTAAGCAGGTAAACATGGAGGTCCCTCTCCAAAGCACAGCCCTTCTGGGTCTAGCATCGTTAGAACGTAGGCTCCATAAGGGCAGGATCATGACAGGTTTTCATCCTCTGTGCTCCTAGGACCTGGTACAGAATCTATGTCCTGGTTGTTTTTGTTTGTTGGGTGTTTACCAACTTGACATGAGCTATAGTTATTTGGGAAGAGGGAATCTAAATTGAGAATATTCCTCCATAACACAGATCTGGGGCCAAGTCTGTTGGGCATTTTTTTTTTTTTTGATTGATGATTGATGTGGGAAGGCCCAGGCCACCATGGACAGTGCCACCCCCTGGGCAGGTGGTCCTGGATGCTGTAAGAAAGCAGGGTGAGCAACCCATGGGGATCAAACCAGTAAGCAACATTTCCACACGGCTTCTGCTTCAGTTCCTGCCTCTAGGTTCCTGCCTTGAGTTCCTTCCCTGACTTCCCTGGATGATGGGAAGTCCCTGGATGGACTAAACTGTAAGATAATAACCTTTTCCTTCCCAAGTTGCCTTTGGTCAGTGTTTATCACAGCAGTAAAAATGCTGACTGGGCCAGTCTGTTCTCTTTCTGGCAAATCTGTGAAGCCGACGAATTAAGTTCTGGCAATGCACAAAGACTGGACCCTTGAGACAACTTCTCCTTAGAGTTTCCTGACAGACCAGCTTCCTTGCTGAAACACTGTTGGGTAAACGTTTCTAAGGCACATGGCCAGACCTGGGGTCTACACTGTAAGGCCCTTTCTTCTGGACCCCTGTTCACCTAAGGTTCCACACAGGGTAAGTAAGGAGAGGTGGGCACTGAGAACACATATCATCTGCGGTCCTCCTCCAGCTAGACAAATCCAACGGCTAGATTTGAGAAGAGAAAAATCGGGTTCGGAGGTTAAGTCACTCATCCTGAGGTCCCACTCTGGCCAAGTAGCTAACAATGATTCAAACCTGACTCCGTTTTCTCCACAGTGTTTAACACAAACACTGGAAACAGTGAGTAGATGACCCCAGTCTCTGGCTCCCGGCCAAGCTTCAGTGGCACTCTCTACAGACCCTCCCAGCTCAGAAAGAGGAGGAGGAACAGGCCAGGCTCCACAACCTGCTGGCCAGACCTGCGGCAGGGAGGTGGTCCTCACTCCCTCCAGAGGTTCAAGCCCACACAGTGGGCCCAGCAACGGCCCAAAGCTGAGTACCTCAGAACGTCTCTCTTTCCTTTCCTCCCTCCCACGCCAGGCACCCTGGTACTCACCTGTGGCGCACAGGTTGAGGCACTGACTTCTGAGCTGGAGGGATCTGTACCCGAGCAGCCTCGCCCATGGCCTGGATCCAGGCCTCCTGCTCCTCAGGGCTCTCGGCACTGAAGAAGTAGGTGCGGACTCCGGCGTGCTCGGCCTGCGGGGAGAGGCAGTGCGTGGAACTGGCCCCGGCCTCATCTACCCAGTGAACAGTCACCTGCAGGGAAAGGACACCAATACCCATAGGAGGGGCAGTCAGGCAGGCAGGCCCTTCACAGCCCCCAGCTTCTTCCCAGAGGAGCCTAAGAGCCAGGCAAGGAGGGTGGCCTGCAGCCACCTCTCAGACACTGCCTGGGCTAGGTCTCTGCATACGACCTCAAAGCCCACAAGCCAGGAAAGCGAGCCTACCTCCCCCGCCTGAAGTAAGCAGGAGGGACAATTACCTCACCCTCTCTTCCCTCCGATTCCACCTTAGTGACAAGAAAATTACCCCGGGGCTGGGGGAGACGGTCCCCTAAACGGGCCCATCTCAAGCCCAATTTCACTGGGAAGCTGGCCCTGCCCCTTCCTCGAGAGGAGACACCTGAGCCCCCGTATCCACGGCATGCAGGGCACGCACTAGCAAACAGATGGAACACACTACCTAGTTGACGGCCGTGAGCAGGCACAGCGGGCTGGAACCCAGAAGAGAGCTCCTGTCCAGAGGAGAGGGTCCTCATGCGGCCAGAAGGAGGAGAGGCAGAGACAAGTCAACCGACACCAGAGGGGGAGACAGGACCGGACGGTGAGGCTGTCCCCTTCCAGTCAGCGTCACCTCCCCGAAGGACAGCACTCAGCAGTGCCCAGCTCAGCCCAACAAGGGACGGGGCACAGAGGGCATGCACTACGGGAATCTGGACTAGGGTGGGCAGTGAATCGGGGAGCCCCAATGATAACCCCAGCTCTTCTGGCAGACAAGTTTGCTATTTTGCTCCACCTTAAAAGTGATGCACCCACTGAAGGGCAGCAGGGGAGAAGGGTCCTGCCTAGTAACACTCAAGGGAATAAAAGGCCACAGGACTAGCTAGGCTCCTCCTGGAACCTTAGCATACTCCCTTGGTGACACCCTCGATTCCTGAAACAACAGTAGTTAAAATTCGCATCACCTAACAGGGGCCACCAGATGGATGAGGAGTCCCGCTCTGGTCGAGTCTCCTTCTGGTCTTGACCCCCTTGGATGCTAGCCCATAGGCTGACGGGGGTCGAAGGGGAAAGGTCAGGCCCTCGGGCTAAACCCAAGACTCTCCTAACAACACCCTCCCAGGGTTTCCTCGCCCAACCTTCAGGAGACTCCCTTCACTGAGCCTCACGTTCCCCTCCACCTTTCCTCAGCCCGGAATTCTCTGGGACGGGACTGGGGGCTTCCTCCCTCTGGCTGGCTGGACAGCCCTGCAGCAGAGGACCCGGCAGGCGGCAGAGCGGCCGAGGGGGCGGTGCTAATGGACAGCGAGGGAGCTGTCAAGAGGGCCAGGAGGATGCTGGGACTTGAAGAGCAGCACCCAGAGCCCAGGAAAAGCCTTCTGGGACAAGAATACAGGGTTGGCCTGGCGGTGTGGGAGACACAGGCAGGGCTTGTGGTGTGCGGCGGGAGAGGTGGGAGTCTGCGGACGAATCTGTTTATTGCATGGGCAACCCGTGTGTGCAGCCGGCTGGCTGGGGCCCCAGTCACAAGGAAGATGGAGACTGCACTTGGGCTCAGTCACGCGGGGGGACAAAACATGCCACAAGGAACAAGGAGCAAACAGACCCAGGACCAAGCGCTTGTGACAGGCAGGAGAAGGCAGAGGGCCTGGGAAAAGACAGGGCTATTGATGGGGTGCAGGGAGGGGCACCAGCTTTAATAGGAAAGGAGCTGGGTGGGGAATTGAGGGGGGGGGTGCGTAAAAGAAGCTAAGTCATTCAAGCGTAGCCAGGCAGGGACAGTTCCTGGCTCCTCATTATTTGCCATCCAAGGCTTGTGCTTGGTGGCCACGACGGGACAAGCCTGATGCCTGTCCGTCTCGGCTCCCCTCCCTTCCCTGGGGACGGGACACTGAATAGCACCAGTCAGAACCCTTTGTAGGCACTGAGCAGAGCTATCACGTGGAGGGGCCCTTAAAGAGGCCGTGCAGGACCCGGGGAAGGAGGAGGGTGTGGTGTGAGTCGCTGTCGGCCCCGCAGTGGTCGGCCAGGCTCCACGGCAGGGTGTGTATCAGTCATTCTAGGACATGCATCTTCTGATGCCTGCAGCTGGCCCAGCTCCAGTTCGGAGTCTGTGGCTCTGACAGGTCTGGTGTGAAGGGCGAGACAGGCTGTGGAGGGTGGTGTGTGGGTGCGAGTGTGTCTGTGGAGCGGGCCTGTTTGTTGGTTAAACAGCCTGTTTCTATTTTCCCAGCTAGAACCCAGCTCCCTGGAGTTCGAGTTTTATTAATTGTTCATTCTGTTCACACCTCTGGCACACGAGACCCTGGGAGGATGGGAACTAATTATGTGCCAAGTAGGTCCCTCCCCGTTCCCTGGCGGCCCCCGTGTGCGCTGCCCACCTCGTTTACCAGGATCTGCAGGGCAGAAGGAGCCTTGGAAGCTGGTGCTACCTGTAAGTTTCTGTCACATTTTTAAAGCCATGACATTGGGTTTTAAGGGTCCTGGACAGCAATTCTCAACTGGAGGTGTGTGTGCGTCAGGGGGGGGGGGGCTTTGGACAAAGACCTGCAGAGATGATATTATTATTTCATATTTTGAAAAGGAGCCTAGGGTTTTTGCATCACAAAACACAAAGGGCATGGGATTTTTATAGTTTTTAATGGGTCATGAATTTTTAAATGTGGAAAAATACTGGCCTAGGAGGAGCCAGCCGCAGGCACAGCTTTGCTGAGTAGGTTCCCCAGGGGTTCTGAGGGAGTGACACTGAACAGGAGGAGTCTCATTTTCCTGTGCACCTGTCCTCTCAAATTGTCTGCACAGCCAGGGGTGCGTGCATCTCCACGGCAGGACACTCACCCAGCATCCACAGGGCCCTGGGTTCCATACACACAGGGCTGGGGGTAATGCTATCTCCATAAGGCTCGTGACTCAAGATCACAACAAAATTCAACTCCTAATATTCTCTAAAGATTAAAATTTGAGCAAGTTTGACTGGGGGGCCAGTGTGCACCTCCATATCCCTAGACTCAAAATAGAAAAGAAACCTATTCAGAAAAGAGTAAAAAAGCCCCGCCCATCACAGCTCTGCTCTGTAGAGGGGGGACGGAGGCAGGCTGCTAGGCAGAAGGTCCAAAAGGCTCAGGACCTAGTTTTCTTCCCCGGTGAAAAGCCTGGCATCCCAGAGACACAGTTCTATTGGCCCGTCTGTGCCATTTACCCGCTGGAGAAGAAAAGAGAGTCCCAGCATGGCCTCACGTTGCCTCCCGGCCATCCAGATGAGTCTAGAGGTCAGGGCCTGCTCCAGCCCCAAGTTCCAGGAGAGCAGACTCCCTCTTTTCCCCACCCGGAAGGGGAAGCCCAGCTGACCTTAAACGTGTGCTTCCGGCTGATGTTGTCTGAGGGCTGGACGGCAGCAACCCGGAAGCTCAGCAGGGGGATGCTGCCCAGGACGCTCTCCTCCTTCTCATCTGTCAGGGAAACAGAGGCACAAAAGTGTGTGCGTGCGCATGCGTTGTGTGCACGCCAGCGTGAGTGTGTGTGCCCGTGCGTGTGTGTGCCCATGCGTGTGAAAGAACGATGCCGATACAGAAGGAAGGGCAAGGAGCTCTTCCACCTTACTAGGATAAACATCAATGGATATTTTGTGTCAGGCTGGTTCAGTACCTTACTAGATCCAACACGCCTAACTGCCCCATTACGAGGCTCTACTATTCCCCTCATTGTCCAGTGAGGAGACGCGAAGTGATGTGCCCAGGTTCCTTAGCCGTAAAAAGTGCAATCGGTCCTAAAACTCGGGAAGCTTGACTCCAAAGCCAGCATCCTTCACCCTGTCTTGTCTGCCCTGTGTTGATACGCGGGACAATTTCAACAGCAATACACAGAGAAGGGGCAGGACGGACGGACGGACGGACGGACGGACGGACGGAGGGACTGACTCCTTTGGGCAATGCTTTGAGTGTCTTTGTTTTGAGATGGGGCCCTGTGTGGCCTGGAATTTACTCTGCAGCCCAGACTGGCCTTGTGCTAATGACCCTCTGCCTTGGAATCCCCATTGACAGCGGCATTGCCATTGCCGCGGTGAGGCACTGCACCTTGAGGGGGACTCTAAGGTCCTCCTAGGCCCTTCCCTGCTGTGGATGCCATTCAGCCCCCTCCCCCACCTCCACAGGAAGTCAGAGCTGCGAGGGTCTAGCTCTACATCCCAAGGTCAATACAACTCATCCTGGATCCTGAAGGATTACCCAGCCAGCGTCCCAGCTGTCAACAGGGGACCAGGAAGGGTGGGAATATTCTGTGGGACAGGTGCGGGACATCTATGAGGCCATGGGAGCCCTTCTTGTCTTTCCCAGCATTTCTGTTTGTCTCCTGTCGTCCCTGCAAGCCACCCAGTTTTCCATACAGGAGAAACCGCTGAGGTTATAGACCCCCCAAGATCGGCCTCTCTGGTTACACTCATGAGACATTAGGTCTGTGGCTTTTTGTTGTTGTTGTTGTTTGGCTTCTCTGTTCAGTCCTTCCTATAGTGCCATGGGAAATGGCAGAGAAAGGGGTTTTGGGGTTGAACCCGAGGGCTGTATCTGGGGAAACAGAAGCTGTTACCATCCAGACGGCTGAGTATGGGTCAAGAAGTGCTGTGTTTGGGTGTGGCCCGTTGGTCCCAGCCCTCACTCATGCTGAAATTTGACCCCCACATAACAGTGCTGACATCTTCAGGGGAAAGGTGTGCCCATGTTTTTTTTTTCTTTATGTTTTGCTTTGAGACAGGGTCTCACTCTGTATCCCTAGCTGGCCCAGAGACCAGACTGGCCTTGAACTCACAGAGATCCACCTGCCTCTGCTTCCTAAGTGCTGGGATTAAAGGTGTGCCCAGCTGACATGCCCATCTTGGAGTGGGCTCCTCCTCCAGAGCAGTGTGCTTGCTGTAAAGCGAGGCTGTTTTGTGTTTCTCCACATGTCCCCACTTGTCCTTCCCCTTTCCGACATGTGCCAAAGCAGCACCAATACCCCCCCCCAAGCACCACCCCCAGCTAATCATGCCGGCACTGAGCTCTCAGACCTCCTAGCCTCCAGATCCAAAGGTCAAAACAAACCTCTCTCCTTTATTAATTACCCAGCCGCAGGAAATTGATGGATATGGGGCATCCTGAGACCATCCCTCTGTGGTCCATGAGCATCCTTTCATACACCCTGCTCTTTTCTTCAGAGACCTTGGCTCCTCCCTCAGTCCTGTCCCATGCCGGTTGACGGGCAGGGGAATTTCTTATTCCTTAGTTCTAGACTCTCCTCTGTCCCTGTCCCTGTATCCCTAGCCCTTGCTTGGCTACAGCTCAGGAAGGGCTGCTCCAGGGCAGAGGGTGAGCGGGTACAGCATGTGTTTGTTGAAGTTAATGATTCACCGCACTGCTCTCAGACCAGGGCTGCATCACTACAGGTAAGTGAAGCCCACAGCCTTGCTCAGAGATCATCTCCACCTCTCTCTCTTCCCATCCCTCCTTGCCCACCCCCTCCCACTGCCCCTAACTGTCATTAGCCCTTGCTTGGGTCCTCTGCGCTCACTCCCCCTGGCACGTGTTGCTGTGTGCACTTTAGGATAACTTCCTGGAAGAGGCTGTGCCAGAGCTCCTCAGATCTTTGTCCTCTTGTGTTGGGGGCAGGGGAGCCCCACGTGAATGTGTGTGTGTGTGGGGGGGGGACAGAGAGGCTAGAGGCCAGGACTATTTGTTTATCCAGCCTCGCCTGGACATCTCCCCTGCTGCCCAGCTATTGGTGCTGCGGACTTCACAGTAAACAAAATGGTAAAGAGTCTTAGATGCCAGACCAGATTGCATATTCTGTTGGGGCCAGGAGGAACATCAGCACCAGCCTCCATTAGGAGGTGACTTTCAAGCAGTAACTAGTGACCTCCTCCTCCTTGCCCTTTTCCTCCCCCTACCCAGGAATCTCACCACCCAAATGGCTGCCCTGTTCACCTGCTGTATCATCGTCTGGGACCCAGAACTGCTGCCTCCTGGATAGAGTATTTATGGCTAGGAATTGAATGAGCAGAGAATGAATCTGAGACTGGGCTGTGATGCCTATGGCCCACATTTTACCAGGGCTAGGAAGCTGCCTGGAGAGATCCACCTGCCAATGAGCTTCCAGAGCAGGGCCCAACAGCAAGACAGAGTGCTCCGTGGCTCCCCCGCCCCGGCAGGACAACGCTGGGCAAACTCACCTTTGTAGTAGAAGAGGCAGCGGTCCACCAGAACAAACCAGCGCTTGTTCCACTGCTTAACCCCGGAGCTGGCCTGCGGGACACACAGAGAGACAGACGGGAAGGCCATGAGCTGGGTGTGGAAGAGAAGGCAGACGCAGAGTACTGCGCTAGTTACAAGGACACCCGGCTGGAGCCGCAGCGCCACCGCCACCAGCACGTGGCAGCGACTCCCTTGAGATCTCAGATACCGGGAACTGACATCAGATTATTGCCTGTGACTTTCCAGTTCTGTCATTTCTGAGGCTCTGGGGAAGGTGAAGGGGGGGCGGGGGGCAAGAGGTACCCCAGAACGAGCGCGTAGAGGAGCAGACAAGAATACAGCAGTGTCCATCCAGGGCAAGTTGGTAAACTCCAGGACTTGAAGCTACCCCACCCCCACACAGCCAGGGGATGCACAGGGAACGTGCCATGGGTTGCTGATGGTTTTAGTGACCGGGCATACTTCAAAGTCATCACATATGCCCATCACAAACCTCATCTTGGGTCCCCCAATTTGACACTGGTTAACTTTGGGGAGGTTTTCAATTTCTCAGAACCTTTGTACAAGTGGGAGACATTCAGAGGCAACAGGAAAACACACCAAAGAGGGCCTGAGCGGCCGTGGGTACAGGAGCCTCACAAGGCTGTGAAGACAGTGATGGTCGCTGCAGGCAACATGGCAGGGTGGCCTCACCTGTTTGAAGAGCCAGCCGGCCTTGGTGACAGGGGCACTGGGGTTCCGCTTCATGGAGTGTGAGCGCTTACCAAAGGCAATGGCTTTGCGGGAAGTTCGAGTCGCCTGGAGGGGCAAAGGCAGCAGTTAGCCCAACTCCTCTCCTCTCCTTACAGCTCTGTCGGCAAGGGAGCTGTCCTTGCTAAGGGGCATACCTCTCCAGTGGGTCCCTGGTGCCTTCCCAGTAAGAGGCAGTGTGAGACTTTGATCGTCTAACTAACTCAAGGGCCTGGCCTTTTAATTCTTTGGATCGTCTGATCTCAAACATGAGTTTCAACATTTCAACATACTAGTGGTTGCGTGGCTTTTGTCTTTTGTTTTCTTCTGGGAGGAACATGCACACACACCATGGTGAGGTTGGAAGTTAGGTCCCGATCTGGGGTCTTAGCTGTCCTTTCCCTCCACCACCCCACCACGGGGGCTCTGAGGATCAAACTCAGGTCATCAGGACATCAGGACAGCCAATGCCTCCACCCCAGGCATCCAGCAGACCCGTCTGCTCCTTCTTCTCGTCCCCCTAATCTCCTTACCATCACCTCTTGCACAAGGCTTCTGGCACGCACACAACTTCCCCGCATCATCCCCACTGCATCCTGTCCCTGCCTTACACCAGACATTCCACAGAGCTGGGAGGGTAGACAGTGTCCCCTGGTTGTCCCTGCTGTGTGGACACATCACTCCTCCTGGGTCTGGTGATGACCAACTGTCTTCTTTGAGCTCTGCGGTTGACCTTTCAGCATAACCCTGCTGGGTTTTGTTTGTTGTTTGTTTGTTGTTGTTGTTGCTTGTTTTGTTTCAGTCTAAGGATTATGGTATCACAGTAAGACTTGCAATCATCACGGGAAACCTCACTGCCCTTGAGGATGGCCCATCCAATGCCCTTTTATATGACCTTACGTCCTCAACTCCAAGCCATGCATGGAGAATCCAGACCCTGCCAGCACCCAGGCCACCTCACCGCCAGCACCTCCAACCCCACAGGAACGTTTTCCAATCACAGCACTTCGTCTCTGGGGCTTTGTTCCCCGTCTCCTCAGCTCTACCAGCTTTTCTGCCTCACGCAGAGCCTCAGCTCCTCAGCTCCTCAGCCCTTCCATCTTTGCTGGATACACGCACGCACGCACGCACGCACGCACGCACGCACGCACGCACGCACGCATGCTACTTCCCGGTTTAATTTCCGTCCGAGCCAGACTCAAACTCCCCACCTGCTGACTTTCTGCCTTGTCTTTTATGAAACTCAGTATTCCAACTTAACCACATCACTCCTGCCTCCTCCGAACTCTCCGGGGTGTGGGTGTGGACCACACTGGGGACACACGTGAGCTGCACACACACCACAGACCTCCAGTCCATCCCCAGTGGGGATGAGACCCAGACAGCAACTCCACTCCCCCCCTCACACTGTTTTCCCAAACCTCCCGACCCTCCCACCCCTTCCCTCCCCTGCTCTTACAGCCAGGCTCCGGATACCCAACTGTAGTTATACATGCACGTCCTCAATTTCATTCCCCTTTACCTAGAAAACGGCTGCCTTTGCCACTGCCTTTGCCTTTGAAAGAAGCCTCGCTCCCCTGGCCAAGGACAACGCTGATCCACGGTCTCCTCAGATGCTGCCCCACTGAACCTTCCTCTAAGAGGCAGGGGTGCGGCTCAGTAGTGAAGCCCTTGCTCCTGCCTAGCACGCGGAAGAAGACCCCGGTTTCCATCTCTAGCAACACTACACATGCATATTTACACACACACACACACACACACACACACACACACACACACACACACACAAATCTACCTTCAAAATACCCTCTTCTAGCTGCTTCTCCTCAGCCAGAGCACTCTGTCCCCCAAGCTCCCACACACCTTCAATCTCCCTTCAGCCCTCAGCCCCTGTGTGCTGTAAGACCCTCCTTCTCTCTGGGGTTCAGCTACTGGGAAGAGCTCATCCTTTTTTTTCCCTCCCTGGACTCCCAAACCTCCCTGTTGAGGTTTGAACGTGAAATATCTCCCAAAAGGGCTCATATTTTGAACACTTGGTCCCCAGTTGGTGGTACTGATCTGGAAGACTGTGGAACGTCCTGATGAAGTGGGCTGTGGCTGGTGGGAGTAAGTCACTGGTGCAGGTACCCCCATACACAGTTCCCTCTCACACACCCACTGCCCCATGTACCCCCATACACAGTTCCCTCTCACACGCCCACTGCCCCATGTACCCCCACACACAGTTCCCTCTCACACACCCACTGTCTCATGTACCCCATACACGCGTTCCCTCTCACACACCCACTGTTCCATGTGCCTCCTCCATACACGCATTTCCTCTCACACACCCACTGTCTCATGTACCCCATACACGCGTTCCCTCTCACACACGAAAATTGAAAACACCTTTCTGAACCATTTCAAGCACTTCAGAAAAGCAGGGAATATCACCACAATCATCCCTTTATGTTGTTTCTTCCCCCCTAATAAGAAAAGTCAAGCGGAGCTAGGCCCCCCTTTGAGGGCTTCAATCTTGTTACCTTTCTCTTCTCTAAAGGCAGCCACTGACCCAAAATCGGTCTGCGGTCCATGGTTATCAGCTCGTGCTGCAGAAATGTCTATAAATATGAAGCTCTGCTCTTCACCTTCGTACATTTTACATAAGTCATATATTTTTCCGATTGTGCAACTTGCACAATTGTGTTTCCAAAGCACGCTTGCTAGTACACACAGAGACACACACACTTGGTTTGGGGAGAGTGCTTGGCGTGAACACGCTGCAGTCCGGGACTGCTCTCTCAGTAGTTTCCCGTCTCTACAATCCCTCTCCTTCCCCTCTCTGCCTTCCGTGCTCATCACGCCTCTCAAACTGCTTGTCCAAGTCTCGAAGTCCCACAGTCACTGGCCTCAAAGGACACCTTCCACCCCCTTTTCAACGGATGACTTCTTCTTCTTCCAGGGTCCCCTTTCCTCCACCTCCCATGCTGACGCCCCCATCACCTCATCTTTCATGGGAGGTTCTTTCGCTGTCTCCTAAGATCAGTGGTCCTTAGGAGAGTGGGAGATTTTGTCCCCAAAGGACACGGACAACATCTGCAGACATTTTGGGCCATGACAACAGGAAAGGAGGTCCTGTGGGCATCTCGTTGGCAGAGGTCAGAACGCTGCTTGACAGCCTACACCACCCACAAAGTGTTACCCAGTCTCAAAAACTAGTAGGGCTGAGGCGGAGAACCCTGTGTGTGGAGCCTAGTCTTCTGTGAGGTACTTGTCTGGGCTTTCCTCCCTTCTCCTCTGCACTGGGTTCTTGTACCTCCTTGTCTGCCCACTGGAACCTAGAGATGTGTTGGGCAGGCAAAGCTTTCCCTGGAGATCCTGAGATCCTCCCACCTGACAGCATTTCCTAGAGGGCTGGACTTACCCGGATGTTGGGCCGCTCTGGAGGAACCTCTGACACCATGTTGTGGTTGGATATGTCGCTGTTGATGGTAGCAGAACGTTTCCCACCTGTTTTGTTGGACATGTCCAAGGCCGATCTGAATGTAAGTCAACAACAGAAGGCAGCTAGTCAGAGCCGAGAAGCAAGGGGAAAGCACCCGGCCTGCCCCCACCCTGCCCCCACTACCCCAGCATCAGCACAAAGTCCCCCCAGCCTGGGGTGCAGCTCCGAAGTCATCCCAGGGGCTCCTTTGGTTCTTCTGGGATAATCTCCCTTTCCTTCTCTGTTCATTTATGGATTTGTCTTTTGGATTTTTGAGACAGGGTTTCTCTGTGTAGTTCTGGCTGTCCTGGAACTCAGAGATCCACCTGCTTCGCCTCCCAAGAGCTGGGCTCAAAGGCGTGCACCATCACCACCCGGCTGGCTTGTTTTTTTAAAGACAGGGCCTCACATAGACCAGACTGGCCTCAAACTCACTATGTAGTGAGGCTGGTCTTGAACTCTTGATCCTCCTGCCTCTGCGGACCAAATAGGCATGTGCCACCCACCTGGCTTTCTCCTGTTCATGTATGTTTAAGAATCTGGACTCTGAGATAATAGACTACGGTTACTCTTATTTTGAGACAGGCCCAGGTTGGCCTTGAAATCAAGATCCTCTAGCCTCAGGCTCCTAAGAAACTAGGATTACAGGCATGTACCACCAGGCCTGCGGCCTTCTATTTTAAAGGTTCAATAGCATACATAAAGCTATGTATTTGATCCCAGAAGGGCGGGGTGGGGGGGATGAGGGGGTGGGATTCGTTGCTCAAAGGCACAATAGCTCAGTGGACTATGAATTATCCTCCCCCTCCCCTTTCAGTGAGGCAGGATGTCAAGTGAAAGATGAGCATTTAGACCTCTGGATTACATCCCATTCCTCTGCGCTACCTTCAGGGGCTCCCAGGGGCTATCCCAAGCGGAGAGCAGGCTTTCATTCCTTCAGCTCCGCCTATGGGAAACACCGCCATGCTCTCTGACGGAACTTGGGAACCGTGTGTGAGGGGTCAAGAGATGTACCCCAGAGGTTTCTGGTCCTCGAAGCTGAGGTAAGGGCCCCAAATACTTCCTCCTTCATTCCCTGCCCAACCTACACACCGTAGCAGCAGGACAGTAGAGGCAGAGGTCAGAGGGCAAGCGCAAGGGAGCTTACGTTTTCAAGTCAAACTTTTTGTTCTCCTCCGGGACCTGGCCAGTCACTGGGTGTCGAAACGTGTTCCGTCTTTCATTGTGGCTGCGGAGGAAGAAGAGGGGAGAGAGCTGCCATCAGCTGGGGAGGGCAGAGGCATAACCCAAAGGGATGGCAGGCCATGGAAGGAGCCGTGGCTCCGTTCCCCGCAGTGGGGTCAGGAAGGGGCAGGTGGGTGGGGTCCGGGAGAGAGAATGATGCCTGGTCACCTCTGGCTGGTTCAGTGTTAGCCACCTGCCAGAGATCTCAGGCTGTCAGCAAGCTATGCTCAGTGCATTCAGTGGCCACCTTGGGGACGGTGGGGGGGGCGGACGGACGGATGGGGTTTTCCAAGCCTGAGTTTGACACAGTCCAGATTTCATGCAGCAGCCTCCCTCTGAGGGACGGCGCCTGCCAGTGCTCCGCACAGAAAATGCTTGCTCATAATTTGCTGAAGGAACTCTCTTGTGACCTTGGACTCCTCTCCTGCTCTCAGCTCCATCTCGTTCTTTAAATGTATCTGGAAATTCGGAAACTCCAGGGTTGAGCTTTGGGCTGGGACTCAGGCACATTCGGAGACCATGGTCTCCTGTTAAGAGGCTGCTAGGCATGGCAGAAGCCCCAGGCTCCACCGAGCAGCAAGGTCAGTGCTGGCCTGACAGATGTACCTAACTGAGGGCTGCTATAGCCAGGAATGGGGTGGGGTGTTGTGCAGAGAGCCTGCCAGGAAGCTGGGGGAGCAGGTCCCAGGGGCTGGGAATGAGGCAGATGGGAGCATTGGGAGAAGGTGCCTCTGGCTGACAGGATGTCAAGCCAGCTCCTGGGTGAGCTCTCAGGGGACATGCAGCAGAGAGGTCTTTCAGAGGAGCAATGCCTTTGGTAAGTGGGGACCACTTGGCGAGAATGTGGGAGTGTCTAGCCCACCTGGGCAGATGAGTTTAAAGGCCCTCCTCCTTGCCACCTCCTCAGAAACACTTAGAGCCCAGCATAGACTCCAGTTAACCATAGGAACAGGCGTGGGGACCGAGGCTGCTAAAGGCACTTACGCACACCCACAGCAAAGAGCTGGCACTCTGCTCAGCCAGCCAGCGCCTGAGCAAAGTGTGCTTAACTTGGTCCCTTCCACCGTCTCCCACTAGTCCAGGATACGCCCCACCCCCGGGATGCCAGGCGGAGCTAAAGATAATTTCAAAGGGTGGGTTTTTGTTTTTGTTTTTTTAATGCCCAACCAGTGCTGTTCAGATAAAAGCCAGGAATTCAGGGGAAAGAGGTACAGCAGGCAATGTCTTCAGCCTCTTTGGATACCCGGAGTTTGTAGCTCGAGTTGGACCTAAAACCTGACCAGCATCCACCAGGCCTGAGTTTGAACTCAGCACATCAGTAACCACCCTCTAGTTCCTAAACTATAGTCCCTCCTCCTTCCTGAATCTTTTTAAGGATGCTCCCTCGATTGGATCACGGGGAAATCTTTGCAAGGAAGAGCACCTGCCTGTCACCCAATGAAGCTTCGGGCAGCAAGGTCCTTAAAATGCCAAATTCTCTGTTTTGCCCTATGCATGGAATGCCTACCTGCTTCCCACCCACCCTTCCCCTCCAGGCCCCTTCTGTTCTGTGTTCCTGGGAGCACCCTGCAGGCAGCTGTTCAGGCGGTCACACACAGAAGCAGTCCACTGTTTGCCCAGCTCAGTTTTCCAGGGCATGGCACACCTCTCCCTGGCCTGAGCCTCCTACCCGGCAACCCTACAAACAATGCCCTCTTTCCACCCGCTGTTAACAATTTCAAAATAGCTTTCCCCTCCACGGGCACTGCAATGCAGTAGCCACTGACCTAACTACCGTCCTCTCAGGCCGTGGTCATCTCCAGCAGACCCCTCACCACCGAGCCCTGAATTCAAACAGGATGAGCAGCCAACTCGGACTGCTCCGATTTCACCAGGCTCACGGTTCACAGAGGAAATCCCTACCTGACCCGTCGATCGGCCCGAAACTTCAACATCTTTTTGGAAGCTCCGTCCCCAGGTCGGCAGCCTCAGAGGAGCCACCAGCCACCCTGCGGCTACCATCCCTCCGAGAGAGAAGGAAGTCCTTGGTTCCAACTCTTAAGGCTGTGGCAGAGACGCGGGGCGAGCTGGGGCAGGCTTCATGGGTTGCCCTTTCTCCCGGTTCTAGCACTGGAGAACAGGGACGGGGCTCCCTCTGGGCCACGGGAGGGGTAGCCCAGGTGCCCTAGGGGGCCTGTGGCTTCCTAGCATTCGCCTGTGATGCTACAGTTAGAAGGCCGGAGAGACAGAATAAATGAAGAGAGGACCTCCTCCCGGTTCACGTTCCCAAGAAGGAAAAGCAGAAATGGAGAGAGGCATGCACGGAGCAGGTGTACAGCTTCCAGGTAGTCCGACCTCACTGAGCTAAGGACACTGAGCAGCTGGGCGGGCGGAGGAGCATGGGCTGCATTCCCATCTGCACGGAAACTCATGCCAGCCCGACCTGCAGGGAGACGGTGTTCCAGCCTCTCCAGCTCCGAGCCCAGACACGGGCTCTGGGGCTGCAAACCAACTTGCTTCTCAGAGACCTTCCAAGCCCTTCTGAGGGTTAAAGCAAGCTTCAGGTTCATTGGCTGTTACTGTTGCTGTTGCTGAGAAGCTGAGGAGAACTGAAGTCTCCGTTCCTCTCCCTCAGCCTGCCCAGCTTTCATCTGTGCAGACAGGAGCACGATGATGCGTGAAGCGGCTCCGCACCCGGCCTGACAACACTCCCCTCTCCAGTTGCTTGCCCTCCGAGTTGCACTGGCCCAGCTGGTAAGAAGCTGGGATATATGCGGCCCCCAGTGGGATGGGCGGGATGTTTGTGGAGCCCCAGCTGCTGGCAAGGATCAGCTTCCTTACTCAAAAGTGGAAGGAAACCTTCCTCCCAAGGCTGGTGAGGAAGAGGGCAGGGAACGGGGCTCGAGGGGGGGTCATTGTATATCTATTGCTGCATATCTTCCCAGATGCAAGATGACAAATTCCAGCTGGTAATTGTCAAATCTGCTCGGCCGCCAGGAGGTCTGCATGGATGTTAATTGCCCCGAATAGGTCAAAGCTAGTCAAATCTCCTCTTTCTCACTGTCCTCCGTGCTTTAGGATGCTTGGGCTGCAAGGCCTTCTGAAGGTCACCTCCTCATCCCCCTGCCTCCAGACAAGCTTATTCTCTTATCAGTCCTTGTAAGTGCCTTGGAGGTTTGCAGAGGATTCCAGCAAAGGAGGACCCAGGCTCGAGGTCCTTCTAAACAGCCAAGCTGCTCTTTCTGACGCTGTTTCAGCTTCCTCTGCCTTCTACTGCTTCTACTTCACGTGGCAGATTCCGTTCTGACCAAGGTGCTTCTTTTCGCAGCACCGGGCATTCTGTTGACATCATAGTCTGTTGTTATGGCAACTGTGTGATATCACAGCAGACACTCAAAGGGCTGGGCTGATCTAATTGTTTGGACTGAGGTCAGAGGAACAATGGGATCAGTAAACAGAAAAATAAATGGACAACATTATTATTTAACCCGTGAAGGGATGAGCTGGCCAGGTGTAACCGGGGTCACGGCTGTTGATATTTAAACGGCTCATCCTAAATCCAAAAGGTCAATATATTCAGCCATTTAGTGAGGCTTTGGTCAATGATTTATCTTGGTGACAGGAGGCCTAAGATCCGGGCTTGAACCTATTTCTAGTTAATTGAGCCAGAACCTTCTCCAGACGCCTTCTTGAGTTCCCTGTCTGCTCACCATAGGTACCCAATAAAGTTTTGTTGAATGTACAAATGAACAGATAAAAAAGACTCCCATGCTCCGGTGTCATTTTTAGCCGCCTGCGTTTGAAGGCTGATATTCTATTACCAAAGGCTTCCCTATCTTAGCTCTCTCTTACAATTAATTACTTCCTCTCCGGGAGGGAAGCTCTGTTTCTGTCCCTTCGCCCCCTCACTCGGCTTCCCTGACTGGCTCCCCCTGAATATATAGCTTGGCTTTCATCCATCTTCATTAAGAGGAGAAGAAAATTAAACTCATCTGAACAGGAGGAAAGGGGGGGGGGTGCACTGGGAAAATGAGTCTTCTTCCTCTAGGAGGCAAAAATATCCCCCTTCTCTTCGAGCTGAGCTCAGGGGCCTCCCACAGCTTTGCTCAAGCTAAATTACTTCTCTGACACCGCGTGAGGCTATCACAAGGGAGTGGAGATGGGGGGCACAGGCTCCTGGGCACCGAGAGCCCCTAAGTCCTCGGGGTTAAGTCAGAACACAGAACAGTAAGCCTGGCTGGTGTTCCTCACCATCACCCTGCACAGAATGACAGGTTTTCATTTTAAGTAAGACAGCAGGAAAAAATTACCAGGTATAGAATGCTTTTTTTTTTTAAAAAAAAAAAAAAAAAGGAAACCATTTTCTTCCTCCTCTTTACTTCCTTTGGGGATGTCAGAAAGCTTCCCCTTCTCAAGGGCAGATGCCTAAGACCAGAGCCAAGGTGACCTTTCAAATTCCGCTCCCTCAAAAGTGAGAAACTCAGGAAGGAAAGACTTGAATGGCAGAAGAAAGAGCATCTTTGATTTCCAGAGTTGCCCAGGAGGCGGTCACTTCTCTACTGGACCAAAAGCTCACTAGGGCATGCCCATGAGCGGACAGGGAACTGGGCAAGTCAGTCTTCGCATGGGACACGTCGAGTCTGCAGTATGGCCTCACCTGTTTAGCCCTTAGTTTGCTCGTGGGCAAACAAGGCCTCTTCTAATTCTATGAATTAATCCCTGCAAACTTTCAATGTGGAATATTTCATGCACGACAGAGGATGGCTGTAAACATTCTGCTCGAAAACAACCAAGAAATATGCTGGGTGCCAGCGTGAGAGTGGGGAACCCAATTAGAGAACAGCATCAAGATTGGGGGGGGGGGGCGTTCCACAAGGACCAAGACACATTCCCTCCACCTCATCAGGGCACTTCTGTGGTTCAAGACATCCTCGGCTTCTACGTGGTGTGCACCTGGCACCATACAGTTAAAACCAGAATCTTCATGGCCCTGAGCAAGCATGCATGCACACAAGCATGTGCACACACACACACACACACACACACACACACACACACACACACACACACACACACACACACACTACTCCCAGGGTAGCTGTCCAAGACTCCCACTGTGATAAATACTGGAAACCTAAGGAATATATACCACTCCTTCTACCCCACTACCAAGCAGCTTCATTTCCACAGACCCTGAGAATCTGCTGACAGAATCAGCTTCGGCCATGCTTCCCCTACGCTCAGAATGCCCATCACCAGCACTGAAGTTCATAGGTGGCGAGGAGAGCTGGGGAGGGGCAGGGGACTAGCCCTCCCGATTCCTGCTGTCTCCCAGCCAGCAAATTCCAGTGGGGCCTGATGGCGGTAGGGAGGGGGTAGGGGGTAAGGGGGGGGGGAATCTGCAGCTCACAAAGGGAAGCTTGGCTCTTGCTCTGTTTCCCTGTCTGGGTCTCATCATTACTGTCAAAGAGCCTTATCTGCCCCAGCATTCTGTCCCAATTAAAAACCAGACCAGTTTCCAACTCTCTAGACTGCTGGATTCCTGGCACTCCCTGGCTGTCCTGGAGAAAACACTTTCCTAGTCAACCACTCCACCCAGGAGCCCCTGCTCTACCTACAGCTTCTGTAACAAGAAGAAACAGGGGGGTCAGGGCCCAGGCAGCACCTCTGGGGGTTTCCAGGTGGAAAGAGCCCCCATTCCACAACACCATCCCTCCCCTCTCCATCTGCAGGGCAAAATACTAGTTCCAAGGTGCCAGGAACAGCTCCAGCTGTCTCCTCTCACTGGCTTGCCCTTGTTTCTCCTTTCTTTTCTGCCCTTGCTCCAATCCTGCTTTTGATGTTATTTCCAGTATGGTATGAATAGTGTGCCCACCCCCCAATCAAGTTTGGAACACCCTAACATGCCAGGACCCTGGATTGAGCGTCCGGAGGACAGGACCCAGTACCTGCTCCTGCCCGTTTCTCTCTAGTCTTACAGCCCCACTCCAACCTGAGTGGGCAGGAGCACGTTCCCCGCCTGTGGTGGCCAGAGAAGGGAGGGGATGCCAGAGAAATTCGCTGAGCTCGGTCCCTGCCATAGGAAAGGGTGTGGGCTCAGTTACGAGGTGGGCACACATGGGGAGCACCAGTCAGGGCCCTGGGTGTCCTCCCTTCCAGCCCCGCAGCTGTCCTCCTGTCTTGTGGCATGGTCAGCTTATTCCTACCATAGGAGAGGGGCCAGTCCAGGGCACAGAACAGAACATTCTCCTCTTCAATTAGGGCAGAAAGAAATTATACAGACGAACTCATGCAACTCTCCTACCCCATACGCCTCAAATTACCTTGTCTTTAAATCAGTTCTTTTACTTGGTGGATTCTAGCTGTCTTTTGAAGGTAACCTGGGCAGGTGATCAGTGTCACTCCTCTCTGTTAGCAGATGAAGAGCTGGTTGTCACACCCCTCTAGGGTCAAGCTAGCCTCTCTGGCCAGTGCCTGGGACCTGGCTACCTCTCCATAACACAGAGCCCAGGAGGTTAAACCTGGCCACAGGTCCCGCCACAGCACCTGGCCAGCATCCTCTCCGGCCAGTGATGACTGTGCACAATTCCAGGGGCGGAGGCGCCTGACTGTAAGTGTTCAAACACTGATGACCGGTCAAGTTGGTGAGAACCACAGTCTGTCCTGGGACCCAGGAGCCACTCGGCACAGAATAGGGCATGTCCCCCTATCCCAGCCCAGGCTAGAGAAGTGGAGTGTGCCCGCTCTCACGGTCCCCACACCATGTCGTGGTTCCTGTTGAGACAAGGAGAAGAATGGAGAGGAAAGAAAGCTACCTGCAACCCCAAATCCCCACTTTCCTCCCCATGGCCTTCCTGAGGAGCCAAGCCAGATAACGGCAGGGGAAGGCAGGTTCGTTCCCCACCCACCCTCACCCCAGCTTCCTCCTTTCTCTTCTCCTGTCTCCCCATCCTTTTCCTTGGCCTCCAGGGTGGCTTTTCCCAACAGTCAGCAGGATTCGCAGGGGTGACAGGGCAGAGCAGTAATTAATTAGGCTTCTTCCCTTCCCTCTGGGTTGAATCTCAAACTCTTGCCCTTCAGAGACTGAGGGCAGTATGCTTCTGCTTCCGGGTCTACTGAAGGTCACCCACACCATATCTCTCCATTCCTAACTCAGCAGATCTGGTTCTGGTGTCCCACAGGGATCGGCATCCCCACGCAGCCTGCCTCATGGGAAGGAATTTCACAGGGAGGGTTTGGACAGTAACCAGCCAGACTGATAGTCTTGCTTCCACATCCTCAGAAGCACCCCGTGTCTTCTTGTTTCCCATCCAGCAGCGTGAGGCTGTCAAGCTGCTCCATGCCTCGTTTTTACAATAAAACGACAGTTGTGAGTGATGCCTTGTTCCACAGGTGGCTCAAACTTCCCACCAGACAGGACAGCAGAGGAAAGACAGGCTGTACCGCCACGAATGGGAGACAGAACAAAGAAAATGGAACTCCTGCTGTGTGGTCGGTGCCCTGGACTGAGGCAGGTAAGGCCGGGGGCAGAGTCGGGAGGTTTACTGTCCTGGCCACAGTGACCGGCAGAGCAGCAGTCTCCGTGGGCTCTACCGTCAGCCTCTCGGCATACCTCATTCCCCAGCCAAGGAGGCGCACAGTTGGGTGGTAGACTGGTTCATGAGGCTCTGAGAATGCTCAACAAGAGTCACAAACCCTTCAGTGCTAACACCTGTCAGCTACAGGCCTGGAGACGACGCCTGATGTGGGGTGGGGTGATGATGCCTGGGTGCAGGGGGAAGTTAGAACAGTCACCTACTCCCCGCCCACGGCCCAAGTCTTTAGGACTGTGCCCCAAATCCTCACCTCCTGCACAGAGCTGAACACATGTTTGGTGGGGTAATGGGACAGGGACCCGTGTTGCTCTGCAGATTGCTAAAGGGGGGCAGGATGCTCAGCATCCCACCTGCTTCTTGCTCCTTCCTCTGGCCAGCAGGCTCTGACTGGTCACAAAGCTGAGATGGTTACATAGTCATAAGTCTTCTAGAACTAGCAGGCAGGAGCCTAGACAGCTGCTCCTAGAGGGAGGAGCCTCTTACATGATGGTACATGAGGACCGGATGGGAGGAGCCTCCTACATGATGGTACATGAGGACCGGATGGGAGGAGCCTCCTACATGATGGTATGTGAGGACCAGATGGGAGGAGCCTCTTACATGATGGTATGTGAGGACCAGATGGGAGGAGCCTCCTACATGATGGTACATGAGGACCGGATGGGAGGAGCCTCCTACATGATGGTACATGAGGACCGGATTGGAGGAGCCTCCTACATGATGGTATGTGAGGACCGGATGGGAGGAGCCTCCTACATGATGGTATGTGAGGACCGGATGGGAGGAGCCTCCTACATGATGGTATGTGAGGACCAGATAGGAGGAGCCTCCTACATGATGGTATGTGAGGACTGGATGGGAGGAGCCTCCCACATGATGGTACGCGGGGACCAGATACCAAGGCAGGGGATGAAGGTGAGGTTGTAGCTGTCACTGCCAGTCTGTGAGACTTCACTGAGGAACTTCAGCCTGAGGCTGGGAGTGGTAGGGCAAGGGAGCATGCAGATGGGTGGTGGGGAGTTCCGACTACCTCCTCCTGCAAGGAGAGAGGGGTTTGGAACTTTCTATGCCCCCTGGCAGCTTGCCAAGGGCAGAAGTATCTTTCTGTCTCACTGATGTAAGGGAGCTACTGTAAGAGCTGGAACAAGAGTCACTCTCGGAACCAGCC